TCTGTACCAAAGAGAAAAGCTTTGACGACTAAGTTTAGCACATGCCTTGTACAGCGTAAACGTCGAGCTTTTTGCTGACTGACCAAGCCATCAGCTAACTCAAGCTTTTGGCAGACGGATAATATGCAAACATCATTGGAAGATGCATTATCAAGCATAAAGTAACCAATCTTCGACCGTAGTGAATACTCATCAATAACTGACAGTACTGCTTCTGCCATATTCTCGCCAGTGTGCTGCCCACGTAAACGTTGCAAACCTGGCAAAGCTGATTGTGTTGTGGTTCCGTTAATCCAGTGGCCCACAATACCAAGAAGAGCAAGGGAATTTGTTGATGTCCACATGTCAAAACTTAGATGAACTTGACCTTCGTAGTTTGCAAACATTGTCTGGACATGAGTTTTTTGCGTTTGAAACTCTTTCATAACCCAGCCTCGAATGGTGTTATGAGAACGTGGTAAAAGATCTCCTAATACTGCATTACAGTATACTAGTAGCTCACGGAACTGCTCGTGTTCTACTTCTGAAAATCTGACGTTTGTGCACACTATCCATCGCAGTAATAAGGTCTTAAATTTTGCGAAATCGATCGTTGATACTACACTATAAGCTGCAGCTCGCTGCTGTTGAAGCACAGATCGAGGTCGAGAACTAGATGTACCATCCTTGGATTTACCGTGGAATTTAATCATGTGGTTCATTGCATGTGTAGTTGTCCTTGACAAGTATGTCTTTGTAACCCTCTTATTATAGCACAACTGGCATAACCAGAATGGTGTGTCATCACGGACCCGGATGATCTCCTGGCCATGCTGCCAAACCCACGAGGTATTTGGACGTTTCCCAGGTGGTGCAGAGCGAAATCCAGCTGGCAGACTTATAGCTGTCGGTGCTAGGCTGCTGGAATCAGGTAAACTCTCTGGCGGTATATGTGGTGTGCTGTGGAATGATCCATCTGATGGGTTGGATGAGTAGAGCTGTTCAAGCTCAAAGTCAGATAAGCCCCCTAGACAGTGTTTTCAGTAGTATTGCCCGTATACGGGAGGCTCTCGTATACGGGCCCGTATTATACTTAAGTATTCATACGACCCGTATCATAACACCTCTTCGCCGCTAGTATTATACTTAAGTATTGCTGGCCATACTTCAGTATTATACTGGCAATACTTAAGTATTTCACGTGATCCTTTCACAATTTTCAGGTCGTCGTGAAAACTCTGCATTTTATCCTTACGTCTTATGATTCAGCCTACATCATGGCTTCTGAACCTTCTGATGTTGTATCTACTATCGAAAGTGAACAATTTAATCAGTTTGAACAGGATACTACAACCTCATCAACTATTGGCTGCTCTATTCCGTCCCAATCTACCTCCCGTACTACGTCAAAGGTAGCTAAGCTACGCACATCACCGATATGGGACTTTACAAAAGTAGGACGTTATGAAATAACCTTCAATATCTACGGCAAGGAGTCCTGGTGTTGCAAGTTCTGTTCTAAGGAGTATACTGTTGGTGGGGGCACTAATATCATCATCAAGCACTTAAAGGAGCGCCATTCCATTGACTTGAAAACACCACAAGAGCAACGCATTGATGGATATCAATCCACAATAGCTGTAGCCTTTGCCAGGCCACACACAATCAATCATAAACGCCGTAGACTCAACGATGTCACTGCTGTTAGGCCTTTAGATCCACGTGTTCTTGAAGATCTCTATGTGCGCTGGATAGTAGCATGTGGAATTGCATTCCGAATGGTTTCAATCCCCGAGTTCCGCACGTAAGTAGTATTACCTTTCATGATTTAAGGCTTTTATTAATATATATATAGCATGCTTCACTATTTAAATCCAGCCATCAATGAATGGCTGCCTCATAGCTCGACAACAATTCACGATTGGGTCCTTCGTAAATATACAGAAGAGAAGGTCATCATTCGACAGGCTGTTCAAGCTGCCCTTACAAATATACACTTTACAGTGGACTTATGGACTTCTCCAAATTCCCTTGCAATCCTCGGCATTGTCGCTCACTATATATCAGCAACTGGTAATCTAGATAACTCTGTTCTTGCACTACGAGAAGTTAATGGCGAGCATTCTGGTGAGAACCAAGCTGTGGAAATTCTTGATGTTATCAACGACTATGGCATTGCTTCAAAAGTTGGTTATTTTGTAATGGACAATGCAACAAATAATGATACAATGATCAAGGAGCTTTCGAAAAAGCTGAAAGAGGAGCATGAGATAATATGGGACCCTAGGCGACATAGATTACGGTGTAACGGCCATGTGATCAACCTCGCTGTTCAAGCCTTTCTCTTTGCAAGTGATGAGGAGGACCTCTCACAGGATAATAATACGGAGCTATTGTCGTCGCCGACAGAAATAGAGATGGAGCAGTGGAGAAAGAAAGGTCCACTTGGTAAACTACATAACATTGTAGTTTATATCCAACGCAGCCCACAACGTATCGCCAGCTTTAAGTTGATGAGCAATAACCTATGTTTGTTGAGAGATAATTCAACACGTTGGAATAGCTGGTATTCAATGCTACAACGGGCGCTACGGGTACAACATGCTATAGAACTGTTCTGCGTAAAATTCAAGGAGAATGAGAATGACCTCCGTAAGTACATATTTATGTCTCTTAAATTTAATTATTTACTAATATTTAAGTAGTTTCACAAGGGGACTGGCAGGACCTTCGAAATATGGCCTGTATTCTCAAGAACTTTGCAGATGCAACACTTGCTACAGAAGGTTATGCCTCGAGCATTGATTTAACACTCCAATCGATGGACTTCTTACTTCACGTGTTTGAAACTGCGAAGAATGATTATGCAATGGACCCGTTCCTTGGTCCTTGTTGTAATGCTGGGTGGAAGAAGTTGGATAAATACTACAGTATGACAGACAGGACTTCGGCATATACAGCGGCGTTAGTATTATGCCCACAATGGAAGTGGACTTACTTCAAATCAGAATGGAAGGCTGATTGGGTTGCTGAAGCACGTGTCAAGGTTGAGGAGCTGTGGGTCAACAAATACAAAGCATTGGCAGTTAGTGCAGAGATCGCAGAAGTTGAAGGTGAAGATACTGAGAAGCCGCTTTCGAATGAGTTTCTTACATGGCGTACACAAAAGCGGGGTATTGACGTTATTCAAGATGAATATACTCAGTATTTACAAGCCCCAATTGTTAAAACTGATGATGCGAGAGCATGGTGGGCTGAGCCTACTCAACGGGCTACATTTCCAAACTTAAGTGTAATGGCATTAGATTTGTTATCAATACCCTCAATGTCTGCAGCGCCTGAAAGGCTGTTCTCTGGTGCGAAAATCACGATTTCCGACCGTAGGAACAGGCTAGGTATTATGGCAATTCAAGCTGTTGAGTGCTTGAAGTCTTGGTTTAAGAAGAATAAGAGTACAGCTTTGCCGTTTGTAGATGATGAGCTGTCAACACTCCCAGATACATTGTTGCAAGAGGCAGCGATGACTATGATATCTAGCTAGTTCAATATGTTCTGAAATTCACAGGGTTATAGAGTATACAGTTTTTACAGCTTCAATTTTTTTTAACATTACATGAAATACTTAAGTATTGCCCGTATTAATACTTAAGTATTGATACAGAGCTCACTAGTATCATATCAAGCTTCACCCGTACCGTATTGATACGGCCCGTATCATAATGGCCCGAATACTTAAGTATTATACTAATGGGAACACTGCCCCTAGAATGCTTTGCGCATCAGAGAGTTGTGGAGAGTTATCAGTCATAATGGTGTAAATGAAGTAGTAAGATTGAAGACCAGAGAAGAAGCCGACCTTGAATTTAACATGTAGGAAATGGCGGTGAAGCCCTGGTTCACAGTAACGGGATTTCACCAATCACGATTTCAGAATAAAGCAGACGGTCTATTTGGTCTGTCGACTGGTAGACTGTCGGCCGACCAAACAGACAGTCTGTCGACTTGCAGACGGTCTGTTTGGTCTGCCGACATGAGAACCTCTCGTCGGTCGGTCTGGCTCAGATTTTGAGGCGGTCTGGTCGGTCTATTTAGACCGATCGACCAGACCGTCTATTTAGGTCGGTCTATTGCCAACACTGCTTGGCGTGAAAGATCTACGCCTCAAAACGGTTGGTCTAACTTGGTGATTGGGGCCAGAGTCCAATTCGGCATATGCTGGAGGCATATGGTCTCGTCTGGAAGCAGATTTCGTTGTCAATCGTTGCCATATGTCGCGAAATTTTCTCCGGTTTCCCTCAACTCTCGTCCTTTCTTCCTCGAACTGATCTTTGTTGACCCATATCAGATGCACATTGCTACTCTAGAATCAGTCAGCGAAAATTTTAACTGTGCAAGGCTCTTCTTACCTTTCGTTCTTCTGAGCTATTCTGCGGTTTTGTTTTGTTTGTTCAGTTTTGACGGTGTTTTCTTTTGTGATGTCTCCGGAAGAATAATGTATTGGATTCTTTGTTTTATTAGTAGTTATATATAATCAACTGCGAGGTGGTGGGTGGGCAGCTCAGAGCAGCAGCATATTGATGGGTTTCACCGGGTGAAGCTACCACGACCAGCAGAATACTGATGGGTTTAACCGAATGAAGCTTCCACCACGACCAGCAGAATAATGATGGGTTCCACCGGATGAAACTGCATCACTGATCCAATTATATATGGCCCTTCATCTTTCCAAATAATAAAACAGCAAATCAATACCCATTCATTCAGGAAATATGAATTCAGTGAGAGCCATTTTCACCAGTCTAGCAAATTTCTCGATTGTGTTGTAGGAAACGGACTCTCGAGTTATGACCGGCGGCATGGAAACAATAATGGAGGATGGCATACGAACGCCTACGATGAGGAGCGTCAATGTCGCAGACGCCTTCGACTGGCAGCAGCGGGCAGCGATTCACTAGCGAAATGGCAAATTATATAACTCCCAATGTATCGACATCATTTCATAAGAGGACATAATTCTCGTCATGGAATCATCGGGTCCCCAGATCCTGGAAGCAGAGCGAAGGATAGAAGACGATACTGCCACCTCTCAAGAGATACACCATGCGCCTGTCTATGAATCAGTACAGAGTAGCACTGTCAGAATAGACGAGGGTGGATTAGTTGAGCAGATGGATGATATCCCTGAAGTCTCAGCCCCCGGGGTATGTCCGATCATATGAATGTGGTTACCTCACTTACAAGTTACTGCACGCAGACGCTATTCATGCTGCAGCCCCTACGCAAAATGAAGGCTTTAACTTCTAAAATTTTTTAAAGTCATCTAGAAAAGGTCAAGGGGGATGCGGCAGTTGATCGGGCGTGCGTAGGCGGGACAGCGCCTACGCAACCGGCTACAATATTTACCATAAAGTTTGCGAGTCCCTGGGTTGAGTATGAATATATCCGACAAAGTGACCAGGTTACTGTAGTAAGGCAGCGGTCGTCGTATTTTAGACTGGCCAACATGCAAGAATTCCCAGCAACAAACACCATCCAACAGTCTCAAGTACTCGCTAGAGTATCTCACCCAAATATTGCCAGCATCTACGGCGTTATATTCTTATATTGACAAACTCTTAGTTGTTACAGAGCATCTCGACATATCCTTAGCTCAGTTAGACTTTCAATCTTATGAAATAGAAGAATGGGAGATTGCTACTATTGTTGCTGAAGTAGGCAACCGTATATTATGCCAATTTCATAGTTAACAGTTGCAGGTTTTAAAAGGCTTGACCTACATATCTTTCAAGAATATTTCTTGCCAAGATCTCACCACCGCAAGTATCCGGCTTTCTGTCCGTGGGGAGATTAAATTGCGTCAGTTGACCCGGTTATAATAAATATCAGCGAGCTGATGCGTTGTTAAAAGTATTGAGTATGGAAAGAGTCAGATATCATCAAGTAGAGAACCCAAGGTTTGCGCCAGCTCTACTAGAAATGGCTGTTCTAGAGGAGATCATAGAAGCTATGACTCTTCCCCGTTACCATCACACATCAGACGATAAGAGATGGTCAAAGGAAACCCTCAGTTTCTTATCCTGCTCAATATCGGGTTCTTTGCAGAACTTAAATGATGTAAGTATGGCTCTAATTTGGAAGTTGGATCTCATAATGGAAATAGCATCGTCTTAATTTGAAAGCTGAATCACCGAAGAAACTGATACCGCGGATTCGATTTGCTCGTAAATTGGAATTCAACCAGCAAGGTTAATAATGATAACGGCCCTGCTGTCGATGATTGGGCCCGTACGCCACGCTCAGCTACAAGACGAGGGAGGCTTCATCGGTGCAAAGACATGGCGCCGCAAAACTCCTCAAAAGTACGCCAGCCGCAGGAGCAATGAAATTGTCATCAAGCCTGGCCTCAAATCATTCGCGCTCGTACGGGCCGCCGAGGATGGCGTCAGCTGCTCGACTTTACGGCAACCGAACGGGAGTCGCCGTGGAACTATTTCCGTAAGCACTACGAGCTGAACTTGGGTGGATTACCATAGAAGTAGGCTGCGCACTACTCGCTCAATACTCGGCTCACTCGCTCAGTGGGTTACTCAGCTGGGTGAGTAGCTGAACCTTTTACTCGACTCGGTGAGTGAGGTCAATACTCAGTTACTCTGTAAAAACCCGGTGAGTACTCGGCTATCACGTGTAAGATTTATGCATCATGTGAACAGTCCCTCATACGATTAATACTGTTTTATGGTTAAGTTAAAGTATTACATCTATTAGCATCACTCTCGCCATCTCTAGTAAGCTGTGAGAACGAATCATGTATATTCCTCTATCTAAGTACCATGATTATCAGAAGATTATTAGAACGCTATTATCTATTATATATGCTTAAGAACATCCCTCCACCTTGCTTGATGAGGCCGGCCAGACCTACTAATACCTAAAGTATTTATAGGGTCTTGATGAGGATCCTCGACTGAGCGGAACGAGCTATGAGTCAAGATAACTGTGTATAGAACTTGTTCATAAAATGTCTCTTGTGTGAGAATATGATCTTATTATAGGTATTAACCTACATAATTCTGGTAATAATCTGGTAATCCTTACTTGTTGAGGTTGCATTTGATTGATTCGCATTTGATAGAGACTATCCTTCCCATCTGTGACTTCTTTTTGCAAATGTCTGATGCAAGATGTGTTGCCATAGACTTTGGGCCAGCAGACTTGATTGCAGGATGCGTAAGGGCCTTCGAACAATAAGTACAAATAACACATGGTTCTCCAGAAAGCCGGTCTGCTCCTTGGTGATAACTTCTCCAGTATTGAGAACTCCAGTTGGTTGAATCCCATGCAATCTTCATAAGGAGTTTTGTAGTATGATCTGAGTGTTGTTCATACCATCGTGATAGCTTCCACCACTCAATGAATATATCGTGTGTATCCTTAGTCCATTTGACGAATTGGTTTAACTTGCCAATATATTCAAGGCCTGCAGGGACTTTGTAAGGATGCCTGTCCCTCAGTGATGGAAAGGATCTGAGTCGGGCAGGTTACGGTCACATGATAAGAGTTAAGGCAGGTTAGCTGAGTCGGACCCGTTTCGGGTACTTAAGGAGATTGACCCAACGGGGGTTCCTCTCTTCATCTTTTTTGTATCCTTCGTAGTAGACCTATAGGATAGCATCCGTTTAGCCTCTGACTCGCACTCTCATATGCTATTACTGTGAGCTGGGTGCCCTGTGTCCTTACAGACTTAATTTAATGAGGATAGTCGTTGAGAAGACGGAAAAGAGTCTGAGAATACTGTCAGAATCAAACAACTCTGAGTATTGAGATGGCATTTGGCAAATTGCTCGATTATCAGAAGGTTACCAGAAGTCTGGCTACGATGAAGTACTTAAATACCTGGTTTTCCAACGCGAAAGGTACTCCAGCGCTATAACTTTAGCAACTCAAGTTCTCCTCTACTCTAGCTCCAGGAACAACATATCCTGTGCAGCTGATACCTTAGCCCACTTTTCCTTATCAAACTTCTTAGAGTAGACAAGTAAGAACGCCTCTTTGAAGCTAGAACTATGAGTGGATATTTGCAACCATCCATTGTCGACAAGATTGTAAGACTTTGGGTACCACTGCACAGGTCCTGGTAATTAGGCCCACTTTCCAAACTGCCTGCTCGTACAAACAGAAATATTTATGTGGTGGGATAACCTCGTGAAAAGTGCTATAATAAACAATTAGTATTGCCAGAAGATTGCTAGGATGATCAGAGACGTACCCTTCCTCTACATCAATCCACGGCATATACTCAAAGAGACGCTCAGGCTTCTTTCTCAGCTTTCCAGCCTTTCTCGTATATGAGTGGATACAGCTATCCCAGAAATGTTGCCACTTGCGGAAATTGGACTCTTCATGGGCCTATCAACTATTAGTATCACCAGAAGATTACCAGATTATGAGGTAGCATACATCAATGTGCGCTTGAGTTAAGAGAGCCTGGGTGCTAGTGATCTCTTCATCGGAAAGCTCATCTGGTAGAACAGCCTCGTCATTTAAAATATCTCGCGCTGTAACATAAGCTCCAACTCCAAATCGTCTTCAACCTCAGTATCCTCCCATTCGCTGTTATGATTGTCATCGATTGGAATACTTGAGATACCCTCAAATGCAGCAAGCTCAGACAGAAGTTGTTTGGGCGGAGTAGATGGTGGGGCTTGTGGAGAAGAAGAGGCGCTAATATTCTTGACTTTCTGATTCGCAATGCAAGATGCATGGGTACCCTTCTCAGTCCTGTTTATAGTTAGATTGAGGCTACCAGAGATTACCAGAAGGGACTTACCGAACACAAATACGCTCAACCTTCAATTCATTCTGTAGACGTGTCTTGTCTTCAGTAGAGGCAGCGATATACTTTGTGTAATGACACAGGGCACCCAGCTCACAGTAATAGCATATGAGAGTGCGAGTTGGAGGCTAAAAGGATGCTATCCTATAGGTCTACTACGAAGGATACAAAAAAGATGAAGGGGGAACCCCGTTAAGTTTGTTTCCTTAAGTACCCGAAACGGGCCCGACTCGGTTATCCCAACCCTAGCCCTGAACCTTCCACCGCAACAGGTCCGCATCGACCCTGAACCCTACACCCTTACCGTCCCCCACTATAGTGTAACTCGCTATGTCCTCCTCTACTGGTCCGAAACCACACCGAGTCGGATTTCATGCTTGTGGTGACCGTAACAGCTCTGAGGCGGGTTCTTCGAGTATCTAGGTAAGGAGGCATCCTTACACTTTGCAGACTTATATAACTTCTTTAAGTAGTAGCTCAGATCAGCATGGTCAGCCTTGAGTGCTAAGTGAACAGCCTTCTCATCTTCAGTAAGGTTGGAGACGCAGTTGCGAGCTTTGATAGTATTCGCATTAGTGGAGAGTTCTTCATGTGCCTTGAGTTTCGCCATACTAACTAAACACGTGATTAGCAGAGATCTCCAGAAGTTCTGGCTATAGAATCAAGATAATAAACTTAGTTGAAGTCCTAGAGAAGAGGTAAAGGCTCAAAAGGGAAGAAGAATGTGTAGATCGGAGAGTAACCAAGGAAGGTGGTTCTAAGGTCATGGTTATTTTAAAGTTGCAAACAAAAATATTTGTGAAGGAATATTCACCTACAAAGAATTACTGTTCCAAAAACAACACCACAATGCGCACCTTCATATAAAACACATACCTTTCAACCTCTACCTCTTTACTATACTCTTCTTCTGCAATATTCTTTCTACAAACTCACTGTAAGTACACATATCTTTTGATCTACTTCTTTATCTTGTGTTTACTTTACTAACTCACCTTGATATTAGCAAATGACTCGTACCAAGCAAACTGCTAGGAGATCAACTGGCGGCATAGCACCAAGGATGCCACTTGGATTACGGGCTGGCTCTGGGCTTGGCGGAAAGGGACAGGAAAAGGCTGTGGGCACAGCAAGAAAAGCTCCAGTTTGCTCATCTCAAGCTAGCAACAATCATGCTCAGAAGGCCACGCGCTGCACAAAGTCTAGTAAGAGGATTACCAGAGGATTACCAGAGGATTACCAGAGGATTACCAGAACTCTCTAATAAACATATAGGCACCAAGGCTCTCCGCGATATCAGAAGACAGCAACTTGATACTAGCTCCCATTCCAGCGTCTTGTTAGGGAAATCACAGAAGACTTCAAGTCCAATCTTCGCTTCCAGCAATCTGCTATCCTAGCTCTTTAGGAAGCTGCTGAATGCTTCCTCATTCGAGAATTTGAGAGTATGATGTTTAAACATAGTGACAGGGACATACTAACAGTTATAGTGACAAACCTCCTCGCTATTCATGCGAAGAGAGTGACAATTCAGGCAAAGGGTATGATATTGGTTCGGCGTTTGCAGGATATGATGTTTAAGCTGTGGGCTTAATCGATGGAAATGTCTCTCACCCAGGAATGAAGGTCAGATGAGTTCTGGCAACCATCTGGTAACCTGGTACCTAAAGGCCAAAGGTTATAGTGTGGAATAGGACATCAACAATATGGGAATGGAGTTGGAGTTATGGCGTCTTGATCAATGAAGTCGCACCCCGTTTTTAACATAAGTAATGGCTAATCAAACACGTGATATAACTGAGTTGCCAAGACCCATACTAGGTACTCAGCAAGTGAGTAATCCTCATTCAACAATACTCGGGACATGAGTGAGTAACTCAGCTGGGTGAGTAAAAATTCTACTACTCGACTCGTGAGTACCCAGTGCGCAGCCTACATAGAAGGAGTTGATCGGAAGGATAAGTCAGTGGATACTTGATGAGAATTAGTCCACTGCTAGCACCACGTTTGGGAGGCCATCCATTATTCAAATGCTCGACGAGATGGGACGTCAGGCTAAATTAATTCATCTCTTTATGCCGATGCCGTATTGGATGTAGACCATTGTATCATCCCCCTCTTTATTTGGATGCCGTCCACCATGTCGTCTTTTGCGGATGCAACCATCGTATTATCTCCCTCCTTATGCGGATGCAGTCCATTGTATCGTTCCAGATTATGGGTTGGTTTGTCATATGAGGTTATATAAGTATTCCGCTAGATTTGTCGTTCTCTCAATTTATATCCCCAATTTTCCCGTATCACAATGCTGTCTATTTTCCAAGAGAACCACAGCACCACAGCAGGCCAGCTAGGCCTCGTCGCCTCCGTGTTCCTAACCATCTCACTCCTCTCCAGCTGTGTAATCTCCTATTTCCGGCCGGGGCTGCGCGAGCTCCCTGGCCCTGTGCTAGCGCGTTTCACACTGCTATGGTGGGTCCATATCAAGGGGGACGGGCATGTTGTCTACCAGAACATCCACAAGAGGTATGGGCCAATCGTCAGGACAGGGCCGAATAGCGTGTCTATTGGGGACGCAGCGATGATTCCGAAGATCTATCTGTCAGGGCATTCGTACCTAAAGGTAGGTTCCGCGATTAGCTATATCTATATTAGTATAGTACTAACAAAGTGCAGTCTAGTGATTTGGCGCCATTCACGTTCATGATTGATGGCAAATCGGTGTATGTTCACTACCCGGGACCCTGTCCTCCACAAGGCCCTAAAGTCGGCCGTTGCGTCCAAATACTCGCTATCGTCGATGCTGCAGTTGGAGCCACTGTTCGACAAATGCATGCCCCTTTTTGTGGCCGAGATGGACAAGCGCGCCGGCTCGGCTGTCGACTTTGAGCTGGTTAGTATCCTAATCGCCCTGTATCTATTTAATCGCTAAGTCATTTTGCCTCAGGTATTTGTTTGACCTCACCGGTCTCCTTTCGTTTCAGGAGCTCTTCGGCTTCATGGAACAAGCGAAGGATATAAACGGCGTGATTGAATCGTCTTGGTCCTTTATGAGTTACGGCACACTCATTGGGCAGTATCCATACCTCCACAAATAACTCCTCGGCAATCCGTGCCTGGTCCAGTTCTTAGACAGCATCTCAAACGCGAACCCGATGGGGTTGATTACGGAAGTATGACGCCCCCCTAAAACCTGTATATGGCCGCTACTAAATGATATAGACTGCACGTGTAGCAATAGACAGGTACGATGAGAAGTCGGCAGACTTGCGTGGTGATTTCTTGGATTACCTTCGGCAGAAGCAGCTTAAGAACCCCCATGTCATGACAGACCCGGACCTCATTAACAACATCCTCATTTTTTTGTAAGTTGCTACAGCAGCACACACTTTGGTTCGAGGAGCTAACCTTGTGCAACAGCGTCGGCGCCGTGAATACCAACTCCGCTAGTCTCCGTGCCTGCTTCTACTACCTCGTCAAGACGCCCTACACCTATGCGAAGCTCGTCAAAGAGCTCCAAGATGCGGACGCTAAAGGTCTGCTCTCTGAAAGCCTATCGTTTACCGAGGGCCAGAAACTGCCTTACCTGTAAGCCCCTCATCCCGCGTAGCATCATCTGCTGACGCCGAGTAGACAAGCCTGTATCAAAGAAGCGTTACGCATGTATCCTATCGTGGGCACGCCCCTCGACCGAGTTGTGCCAAAAGGCGGGGCTATACTGAGCGGCCACTTCGTGCCTGAGGGCACAGTAGTTGGGATTAGTGGGTGGGCGACGCAGCGCGATAAGGGGGTATTTGGGGAAATCCGTCCGTCCAGAGCGATGGCTAGATGCGGACGAGAAGCAGGTTAGGGAAATGGATCGGAGTATGTTGGCTGTGAGTATTCCCCTTGCCTCTCCATACAGATGTGCCGTCACTTACGCACCATGGAAGGAGCTGTATTATACTTATTCAAGATATGTTACAGATTTTTTGCATGTCGATTTGGGAGCGTTTGGGCGTTTAGTTTCTTCGACGAGGGGTTGTGGCGTCAAACGGTGTCGACAGCTCGGCAGCCACTGCCGAGCTGTCAGCCCCACAGCCGATCCCGCACGCGCCCCTTTCCTGATTGGGAATCGACTCCTGGCGTCACGGCGACAACCAAGCGGCGACAAGAACAGGCACTGGGTTTGCTGTAGCCAGTAGGAGTCGTTACCCCTCAGCGGGCGACTGGAGGGGGAACTTCAAGCCAACGCGCTTGCTTTACTTCGCCTTTGACCCGGAATCAGGATGGGTACCTCTACCACGCCTTATTTTCCCGAGTATGTATGGTAGACCATTACCTCGCGCACAACGGCTTAGTTACAATTAACTGTGGTCTTCCCTGGTGGGACAAAATACGGCCTCCGACAGCTCCACGCGACGTGGGGCAACCCGCGCAAGCCAGACGAGCGACGCACGCGAAACACCAAGCCAACCAACCCGGGAGAAGCCCTAGAAGCCAGTACAAGAGCAGGAGATGGGTCAACAAGGGACATTAAAGTCGTATTATAAGCCTGAAGGCCGGACTAATCTATACCCTAAGGCGGAAGTAAGTCACCGGGGTAGGCATGGCGACAGTGGCGGAAGTGGCGCGGACGGCCATCCAACCGCCCTATCCCTGCTCACTTTCCCTCTCCCTCTCCAGCCATGCTGGTCTGCAACCGTTAGCAAACAGAATCACGAACAAACACGTCAAGAGGGACTAGTCCTACCTCGGTACGGTGGAGCACTGCTAGAATTTCCTCTTGGCCTCGCAGGATAGTGGCGTTCACTTCCGTGGCTGAGAGTGCCACGGAGCCAGCTACACGGATATCCGCGGCGTCAGCTCTCTATTACAAGCCCAGAAGCTTATCCTAATACTGTTGTTCGCCGGCATAGAAGTTTCGATTGGCGTTATCTGCTGATTCCCTGACCGCCTCGCAAGCTGTGGCAACTGTGCTGGCGCGAGGGCGCAAGGGGTGCTCGTCGAGGTTTTGTCGCACCCAAGCGGGTAATTGGGGTCCTTGACGACCCAGGAGATAGCAGGCAATATAGGCTCCGCAGTATGCTATTGCCCATAATAGTGGCCCAGTACACACTACCACGGTGCGGTTTGTTCTGCTCTTCCGGAGTCGGCGAATGACATTGTGCGCTCCTTTCAATGTGTAGCATGGATCGTCCCATTGGCTAGTGTAATCGGAGTGGGACAAATAAGGTAATTTTTTTTGGTTGTTTTGTTCAGCCCCTCGAAGCGCGGACACGAAGATGAGAACACAGCAAGAGCCTCAAAAAGTACACGATGCCTATTTCGATGCTCCATACTTGTGAGGCCTGCTTTGAAGTGATCGTCAGAGTGGCCTCCAAAGTACGGAGCCCTAAAATAGGCACCCTGTTCTTTTGAGCCCACTTGCTGTACTCTGCCGTCGTGATTCTAACTCGATTCCCAATCCGACGGATGGCCCTGAGATTAGTGTAGCCTTGCCTGCCCCACGTATTTTCTCGGAAATATTCTGAAGGCAAGTAGCGGAAATGGATTGCTTCCGGTTTGTTAGGATTGCCTGATGAACAGCCTCACGGCCTCCCATGCGCAACAAGACACTCGGTGACTGGTGAGAGGAAGACTGGGAAGGCTGGGTGATGAAGTCTGGCAGCGAAGGCAACATCGCAGTCAGTGTGGCACTACTCGAGTAGCTCTGCATCGCTGGTACCACCATGCGCTATTCAGGGCGCTCAAGAACCGGGACATAATTTAATTCGACATAGTTTAATTCGACATAATTCTAATTCGACATAATTTAATTCGACATAACCAACAGCTGCCAAGATATGTGATAGTGTGCTTGTGCAGTGCGTGTATGAGACGGCCTTTCACCCCAGACATAATTGTGCACCTCCAATTCAAGGTTCAAAGGCTATCGCTTGGTGCTTCTCCATGGTAAAACGCTCTACGAATTTAATCAAAGCCATTCCCAGTCACTCCCCCAAGTCCACCTCGTGACTTGCCGCCAGACATCGATCATGTCGAGAACAAGAAGGGCGAGGGGTTTATCCATTCAAGAGCCAGAGGACAATGCAGTAGGGGTTGGCTCTCCATTAAGCATCACAGTGTCTGTACCAACTCTCAACCAGCCTCAAGGCAGGCCGCGAAGGAATCCATTGCGGTCCAAAACAAAACGAGCAGATCTGGCCCACGAAGCCAGTGACCGAACGAATATCTCAACTTCAAAGCCGATCATTACGATACCGATACCGTCAAGTAGCAAGCGACGTACGTCGAGGTCACCAGCGCCAACAGGTCACACGGCAACGAAGAAACAGAAGCGCACTCTTTCCGGGGACGCTCGCCGTACATGTTTGCAGACCGCTTGTGGAGGCTGCAGTCGAAAATCCCATCCGCATGCTGAAAATTGGGAGCAAGATCTTGCCGCAATATGTCACAAGTGCAATAAGGAATGGCATGCCCAGTGCATGGCGAGAGAAGGGATACAAAGAGTTGGCGAGTCAAGCCAATGGGAGTGTCGTGACTGCAGCAGACTACTGCCTGCTTATACGGATGGCATTGACGCGGAAGCGACGCCTGAGCGACAAGCTCGAGACACCAATATTGTTATGGAGGAACTGGACACCCCTCGTATTACGGATGATTATCGCGCTCTTGTGAGCTTCAGCAAGACAGCTGTCATTCAAGCACAGGATATCTACGAAGAAGCCAGGGGCCTCTTAAAGACTGTTCTTACTGAACGAAAGACATGCAGGGAACGTTTCAGCAAACTAAAAAGAGAGATCGAGCGTTGTGGAGATGGGCTAGAAGAGTACAGGAGACAGTTTGACTCGGACGGTGTTCGGCCTGGTGATGGAGAGTCGGAGCATTCTATAAGTCACCAATTGGCTCTCGGAATTTGTGGTGACACAGATTGGACAGACAAGGTGACAGACAAAATTGAGATGATAAGGGCTGAAGACATTGAATTAACTAGGCGCCTAAAGTCAATTCAAGACGATGTGGAAATAAAATTGGCTAAACTCAAACGGGTTGAGCAACAGCATTCAAGGTTTTCCGCCTGCTTACAAACTTCTTGCAAAGTGTTGAAAAGGCTGCGGTTAAAAGTAACTATGGGGTTTATCGAAGATTCTGGTGAGGACTCAGATTCCGTCTTCGAAACTACCATGGAGGATTCCGTCGCAGGAGATATCTCTCCAAACAGGATTGCGAGGGAAATTGAACGCCAGGGCGAAGCCAACCAACAGCGCATGATGGAAAACCCCAAATCGAATGACGAAAGAGCGCAAATGCGAGCCCTATCTCAGCTATCAATTTCTACAAAGGGATTTGACCCGCCACAGAGTTCGCGAATTGTTGCCTTGCAGCATACACCTGCGACGGATGTAGCCGGGTCCTCTGGCATTGCCAGCGTATCTGAACTTCTCGGGAAAACGGACAGAGGAGAGATCCAACCTTTATCTCAGGCGTTAGAAATGGATCGGGTACGTGAGCAGCCCGGCCCGTTTATGACTGTGGAAGCGGTAGAGGTTCCGCAGGAATTACCCAAGATGCCCGGACCGGTCAAAGCGCCCAGACAGTCTGATACTGCCGGCGGAACTGGTCTGCAGGAAACCACCGTCCATATATCCTCCCCAGACTTAGGAGATGGGTGCAGTCAGAATGTTTCGCTTACTGCAGGTATCTCTGGGGAACGTGACAGATCGTGTACTCCGGAGAATAGCTGTCGCACTCAGGATCCGCATAGGGTCCCGTTCGTTTCCGTCCCAGCGGCCTTACCCCCCTCTGCGGATGTCTTGGATCAGTTGGAATCTTCAGAACGGTCGGGTATTAGTCTAGTACCGGAAGACATATCAGTTATTACAGGCGGCCGCAGCTCAGAGGATCCGCATAGCCACCGTTTGGTTGGTGGGATGGCACTGTCTGCAGAAAATCATCATTTCCGTTCAGACGTGATAAACCGGCGCCCAGATCACCTGCCCCCAATGCCGGCTGAAGCAGATTTAGCCTCAGTGGATGCAGGCTACGAGAATATTTTCAGATCTAAACCTCCGCCTCCAGTGTTTGGACCTGGCTGCTTACAATCGCTGGCCAAACACAATGACATAGTGCTTCCGCCAATTACCAGTTTTTCACCCATACGCGATGCACTTCAATACTCAGTCTTGCAATCACCAAGTCCTAGCTGGAGTCCTAGCTCTTCTTTCAAACAACGCATCAGCAGGTACTTAAATAAGCAAGATAATGAAGAGATGCCTACGCCAGCCGGGGCCATTCACCGACGAGACTTGAGCACTCTAGTCCCTGACCGAGGGTGTTTTCTAAGTGATGTGATCATCAACAAATATCTACAATGTCTCACTCAGCACCCAACGGTCGGATAGCGATGATTGGCACCATGGATTCCATTCGACCCAATCATCTCGAAAGCCTTGCGGCCTTCACTACAATTTTCATTCCAGTCAAAATAAAAGATTCGCACTGGGCACTCGCTGTGTTACATCCAGGCTCTCTCGGACAACAAGGACGTTCTGAGGTCTATGACAGCCACGAGCGGTGGGCCACCAAAACGATGACTACGAAAAATGTCTTTGACCTCCTCAAATACCGACTAGGCAATGCGTATAGCCCTATGGATTGGACAGTGACCGAACAGCAGTGCAGCCAGCCACAGCAGCATGACGCTGATAGTGCCTTGTACGTACTCGCAAACGCGAAATCTATTGTGTTGAATCTGGGAATGATCAGAGTGGACACCCATCGAATAAGGACACGCTTGAGATGGCAATTTGCAGAGGAGCTTGTGAAGCAATATATTGTCGTGACATTTTGAAGAGGTTGCTGGCACCGGAGCTCAAGAAGAGGCAGCACTCACAATTCTTGTACACAAAACTTGCACAGCAGCGTAACATATCTTCTACAACTTAGTACTTGACAGACCAGAGCCTTATCTTGTACGAGCATGAGGAGACTGATTCTAGGCTCTGGTAGATACGTGCCAGATGAGCACCCTTCCACGTATGGAATGTAATAGACAGTCTTGCGCCTCGCCTTCAGAAATAAAAGCCAATTACAAAATCTCTGTCCTCTCGTATAAGCTCCAAAACAGCTGCTTCTTGACAAGTTCCTCCTTCTGCAAGAATACTGTCTTCGCAACCACCTTCCTCGTACCTTGGGTTAAGGTTCTGAAGATTGCTCAGGCGTACCCTTCTATAATCCGAGGAAGAAAACGAGACTCATCAATTCGATCAGGAAAAAGTAGAGCAGTCCACTAATTCCGACGCCGATAAAGCCCAGAATCTTACTTGGTTATCTCCAAATTGCGGGCCGAAGCGGATGACGAGGTCTTGATCGAGAGCGGCTGCAGTTTGGGCCTTCGTTATTCTTGCAACTGCCTTAATATCCTTCCTTGTAGGCCTATGTCGCCCGCTCCAGGTCTCCGCTATCGCTCAAGGCATTATAATCTCGCGGTTTGAGGAGGCTGTAAGCGGCAATGATAGAATGTATCGGCACTTGAAAAATTCTTCTCGACATGCCTGTGACCGCTGTTCAAAGCCCTTGAACTCAGAAAGAGCGAACCAGCAGCACACGCGTAATTCTTGTCGGCACAATATGTGTCCTTGTTATCCTTGTGTTGCCGACTTCGAAACGGAAGGACCATCAGCGGTTCAAACCGGAGCGACAAATTGAGGGGTATCATCGGATTTACCCATTCAGCAAGTTCGTAATCATCCCTCGCCCAATGATCCCTGCTAACCCTTGATCGTTACTAGACTAATTTGATGGCGGCCACCAGATGAGCCCATAGATGGCTCCTCGGATTAATATATAATAGATAGAGCACAAACAGCGATTCTGGAGAACGGCACACAAGACAATCGCTTGGACGCCGTTAACTTCTTCAACCCTCTTCAAGAACCTCTGATAAGACCTTCGTCTTAGATCAGTCTTCGAGATTGCCTTTGATGACAAACTCGCCACGAACTTGAGCTTCTTGAATCCGCGTTCCCTCCCTTTGCTTCACCCCTTTCCGGGAACAAATGAGTTTTGAGGTTTCAAGTAGCTTTGTCACAGCGGCCTCGGCTGTCAACGGCGTGTGACGTGACTTTCTATGAGAACCAGGCAGTTCCATAATAAATCGCAAACTGTACGGAGGTAGCGGGTTTAAAGGACGTTGGAAAGAAGTTGGGGTTTTGGGGCTATATCGTTGGAAGATGGTTGGAAACTCGCGTGCAAGTGATGAAGATTCGAGATGCATGTGGTTGGGAGATGGTTGGAATTCACAGTGCTTTGGAAAACGGTTGGAAATGCACATGAAGTTTTGGGATCTCTAGTTGGAAGATGGTTGGAACTCACAGGGGTTTGTGATTGGGGTGTGTTGGATGCAGCTGTTGGAAAACGGTTGGAAATGCACGTGAGCTGATTTGAGTTCCAACCATCTTCCAACCGGGGCTCCCGTTGGAACTCACTAGGGTTTATGATTGGAAGAGTGTTGGATGGAGGTTGCATGCTATTGGAAATGGTTGGAAGATGGGTAGGATCATTTGAGCCAGGTTTGACGATTGGCTAAAAGTTCGAGCTTGACTCACGGTTACCACGCACTGGGCCCATGTTGTCGTCGGAGCCTTGCGTTGGAACCCAACATTTGATAGTTGGAATCAAAAGTTAGATTTTCCATAATCTCGTTGGGATACAGTAGAGCGGACTCGTTGCGAATCCAATACGTCGTAATGTTACAGCCTTACTCATGATAATGATGGATGAGGTTATATATATAGCGGATAGCACAATCATTCCCTTCGCTCAACCTGCTCAAGAGATACTCGTTCAGCTTCTGCTCACTTTCGAATAAACTCGAACAAACTTACACCCCGACACACGTTTCTTCGATCTCTTCGCTCTCACAAGTGAGTTCAAGCATCTTCAAATAGGTTCAAAATTAATTGGATTAGAATGTGTTCATTCGCTACTCATACTGTGGAGGTGAAGGATTCCACAGGGAATATGATCCAGAGAACCACCAAGAGGGGCGAAAAAACTAGAGATTGTCAGCGGAAGAACTGCCCTACCTCCGATAAATTCTCAAAGTAACTGTATATTACCCAACTATTGTCTATTTGGCGACTAGTAACTGACAAGTGCTCAGCGAAGATAAACTCCTCAACTCCGTACTGGAACAAAGGGACAGAGGAAAGAACAGCAAAAAGATGGCAACGGATAGGATAGGCTGAAATGATGTTTTGCAATTACAAGTTGTGTTCAACACACGAATAGTTTAAACTTCAACATACTCACTTTGTAGCTGAATGATTAAAATACTTATATTTGATTTCATCATCCATATCTGAACCCTGTGAACGTCGTTAACCCAAACCCGTGCTCCTGGGCGCTGCAGCCTCCCTGATAGAATTTATGATAGATATCTGTCAAGTTCTTCTATACCCGAAGAGTCAGTAAAACCTCGTTTGGCCGGAAGAGGTCCGCCAATCATGGCGCAAGAGTCAAAGTCGACTAAGATTGCGATCTCATTCGACTGAGTCGAGAACATGACATTGGATGCTTTGACGTCGTTATGGGCAAGGTTGAAGCGTTTAAGATGGGCGATGGCTGCGCTGATCTGATCAACGACAAGTGCCCTGTTTATTGATGCGCCCCTTGACCTCCTCTCTTCAGCAGTCTCGGCATAGCGCTGAAAGCAGAGGCCTGCAATCCGACCTTCTTGCATATAGCATCCTAGATATCTAGCAATATTTGGATGGGGGTTCTGCATCAAAATCTCGCACACGCGAGCCTCTTGAAGGACCAAATGAGCAAGAGAAGGAGTGCCATCGTATGCAGTGAGACGGGGTTTCTTGACATAGATGTCAGGACTGGTGGGATTGTCGCAGACGGTGACATCCCCCTCATGAAGCGGCCAAATGTGCTCCTTGAGAATCTTTCGGGGGCTGAGGGCATTGAGGCTTTGGGTGTCGAGTTCAGGTTGGCGCTCTTTGGACTGACATATAAAGTAATCTCCGCCGTCTTCAAAAACGATTTGCGTACATAGAAATTCTGGTGGGTCCGTATCAAAACTCCACTGCTGAGCTGATTTCGCTACCTCCATGTTGTACGAGGATCCACGATAGAGTCTGTTGATAGAAGGCGTTCGAGGTTGGAAATTCGCTTAAAGGACCCCTACAGAACAGGTATATAGGTATGTTGGAGCGTTTTCGTTGATGGTCGAGAATGTTACAGCTATGCTGATGCTTTGCTGCCAGGCCACAACTCCGCGTGCTTGCTTTCCTGTGCAGCTTTCCACTTTTGAGAAGACACTCCCTAACACAGGCTGATCCTACGTGCTTGCGTCCGTAATCTTGTCTGTGGAGACTATTGGTGAGGAATTGCCCGTCTAGAATGGCGTTTCGAGTTGTAGTTATTTGGGGTTGCCTCCTATTGAACTCCGCTGGAGTGTGTGTTCCATTAGTGATCATCATTACTATCAAATATATAAATGGTAACTGCAACATACCTACACCATACTTGAAGAAAGCTGTAATTCTGTGGAGACGAAGAAGACCACAGACCGAGGAGGTTGTCTTGAGCACGCGGGCGGCGGAAACGCATCCCGCTAAATGAAAGTTGTCAGAAAAGGATGGTATGGCGCGCATTTTGTGGCTGAAAATCGCCTCGAAACAAGTCGCTGAGCCTCAGATTCCGTCACGATTGTCGTGCCTCACGTTGACCATGCCAGCGCGAAGTTGACACTTAGGCTTTCCCAGCATGATTTCTATAAATGGAGTCCAGTTCATATCGCATATTCTCGGGATCGAGCTTCACATATGCATTGCCTTCAGTTTTACAATTTAGGGGCCGCGCATGCACAGATCCATGTTCACGGCATATGCGCTGTGATGGAAACGGTGGAAGGTCAACGTTCTGAAAGTTTAGTAGAGTCTCTGCCTGTGGTTCATGACTCACAAGAGGTGGATCATAGAGCAAGTGACACGAAACTGACACGAAATCATCGCCTCGCCTCACCCCGCTCACCCTGCTCACCCTTGCTCACTTCACCCCTTAAGGCGGCAAGGGGCTCACCCACTAGGCCGGATGTCACCAACTGAAGTAAAAAGCAAGTGGCCACGCCCGTCGCGCTCATCCTCGGCTCCGGCCCACGAGTCGGCGCTGCCGTCGCCAAGACATTCGTTACCTAGCGAACAACCTCTCTTCGATTAACCCCATCCATCCATCACGAGTTTCGAATAGATGCGCATATCAGCTTCAAAGCTAGGCAGATTCACCAACTAGGATACCGAGCAACTTCCTCGAAAGCCCGCATAAGAATCATCATTCATGGCTTTTCCTCTCGTCTCCGAGTCGGGCAAACGTCTAGCGAGGAAAGTCACCATCTCATCGAGTTCATCGACTGAAATGGGAACCTCGTCTAGAGACTTCAACCCCTCTCGTGTAGGATATGGCGATTTGTCAAACAGCAAACGGAGACCCCATCGTTGTTTAAACTTGCCCTCGTATCCAACCCAAAGATTGGGTATAAAATTTCCCTTTTCGATCGCGGCCGTGAAAGATCTTGTTCGAAAGGCAGCCTCTGAAAGGTAATGCTCATTTGGACTAGGCCAGTTTGGCAACCACCCAGTTAGAGAATTTGCCACGCTTGTGTTAAGCGTGATCTCGAGATTTAGTTTGCCTAGGAGTTGAGGCTTTCCATTCGCTGTGGTTTTGGTTTCGGCAGTCTCAATGGCTTCATCCGATTTAGGTAGCGGGATGCTCTTCCATTCGAGGTTGACGGCGAAGATATACGTCATATCTTTCACGCACCATAGCTTTTTGATTACATGGTCAGCTGCTCGTGCACGAGAACATTTGGTAATTTGGCGCTAGGGTTTCACAGTCTGTACACACCTCGCCGGTCCCGTCCTTGTTGAATTTGATGAATTTACAAACGTACGGGTCAAACGACCACTTGTCTTGATCACAAAGAATCGAGCAAAGTGCTTCGTTCATATCGCCAATGTCCCGGTTGTTAAGAAGTTGGAAGACTTTCTACTCAATGAAAGAAGAGAAAGAGCGAGAGGATGTTAACTAACGTTCGGACTTCTTCCGTGGATAAGCGTCGCGTCTAGTCACGTGGCGTAACGTGTCTTACTCATGCGCTCGGTAAGACCGGCTATTGCCGAGCGCACGTCTAGCCTTAGGCATCAAGGTCACAACTTTTCATTTTAAAACTACATTGTTTTCACATGAGGCCAGATAAAACAAAGAATAGTTACACCAAGGTTGAATTAAGACAAGAATATTCATATCGAGTGCGAATGGAGACAAGAATATTCACATCGAGGTCGAATGGAGAGGACGTATTCCCCCAAGCGTGAGGACATTGTTCACCCTGATGAAGGTGACACTATCTACGGCACAGGGCCTTTGAGCCCTTGCCAATTCCTCCAGTTTATCGTTCCGTACGCAGCTTGAAGGGCTTGCCAGGCCGGGCCGTTCGACTTCGCTGCGCACTGGACTGATATGCTCAAAGGATTACTAGAGCTAAGCAGCGCTGGCGGAATAAGAAACTGAGTTTTTTCCTCGCTGCCATAGATCGGGCTGATCAAGACAGTATTGGCCGTGGTGTAGCCCCTTCCACCTACTGTCATAAGGAATGCGGGACGATTGGGGACTTTGGAAATCCAAGGGGTTAGCATGAACTCTAGCAAGACAAGTTAGGCAATTTCGATTTTACGAACCTCCTTGCGTAAACCATAGCGGCTTTGGAGACTCATCAGTCGTCTCTTTCGGCATATATACTTTGTTGATGTTGTTCCAAGCAGTGGAGTCAGCGAGGATAGCGCAGAAATAGCCATTAGCCTCTCCGGGCCAATCCCCCAAAACGGGGGACAGGTACACACCCTGGCCCAGCTGGTCAGAGCTGCCCAACTGTCGCACGGTCGGCACCTCCCATTGAATCGTGCCCTTACTTTGGTATTTGGCGGCTTGGTCCTGTGATTCAAGTTAGCAAACAACGTCTATGCCTTTGCGAAATGGTGATGGAAGAACACTTGATATCAAGTATAGATGAACGATTTTATATCGAGGAAACGATGATAGGAAAAAGAAGTAACGTACCGCACCGACAGTTCTGTAAGCAATTGGGATTGCATTTATCTGCTTCCGCAATACCGAAGCAGCAGTGCAAGCTATGAAAGCTAGCCAGAGCGCTGGAAACATCATTGCGAGACAAACGACACAAGAGAAATTGCAGAAAGAGAAGAGTAAAAACGAGGGTGACGAGAGAAGTCTTCTATCAGAATCGCCAACGAGCAAATGGCGCGTCCGTGCTCTGTCAGTAGGGTTAGCGCAAATAATCATAATAATCATGACTAACTTAACGTACATGTATAGCGAAAGCGCCAAACAAGCGAAAGCGCCAAAATGATGCGGTGACCAAACCCCCCAACTAAATGTTAAATTCCTCAACAACAAAACATGCCCCATAAAAACGATGAAAGCCAATTAGTGCTAGCTATCCAGGCTATGCAAAGCGACCTAAAGTTACGCCTTCGAGTTGCTGCTAGGATCTATTCTGCGGACCACCGCAAGCTAGGTCGTCGTCTAGAAGGTGTACCTTCACGACGCGATATCCAAGCCAACTCACGGAAATTAACTAACCTAGAGGAGTCCGTCCTTGTTCAGTATATACTCGACCTAGCTGCCAAAGGGTTTCCTCCTCGGCTGTCTGTTGTTGAAGATATGGCAAGTCGACTACTTGCAACACGCGACGCGTCACGCGTTGGGTCGCGTTGGGCTTCAAACTTTGTTAAGCGGCGTGTAGAGCTCCAGACACGCTTTCAGCGCAAATACGACTACCAGAGGGCTAAGTGCGAAGATCCAGAAGTTATTAATGGCTGGTTTGAGCTTGTGCGTAACACAATTGCGAAATATGGTATCGATGAAGCAGATATCTACAACTTTGATGAGACTGGGTTTATGATGGGCGTTATCTCAACTGCTATGGTTGTAACAAGCTCAGACGGGCGGGCAAAAGCAAAGAAGGTACAGCCTGGTAATCGGGAATGGGTTACAGTAATCCAAGGCGTTAGTTCTCAAGGTTGGGCAGTACCACCATTTATCATTGTTGCAGGCAAAAACCACCTTACATCTTGGTATGAGAATAGTGGATTTTCAAGCGATTGGGTGATTTCTGTTACTGAAAATGGCTGGACTACAAACGAGAGAGGCATGGATTGGATTCAGCACTTTGAGAAGCATATAAAGGCCCGGAGTGTTGGTGGTTATCGCTTGTTAGTCCTTGATGGTCATGAGAGCCACCACTCAGATGAGTTTGAGGAGTACTGCAAGGAACACAACATTATTACGCTTTGTATGCCTGCTCACTCTTCTCATCTACTCCAGCCACTTGATGTTGGCTGTTTCAGCCCGTTAAAGCAGGCCTATGGTCGGCAAATTGAAGATATGATGCAGGCTCATATTTCTCATATTACAAAGGATGACTTCTTTCCTGCCTTCCACGCTGCATTTAACACTACAATGACGGAAAGTAACATTCGAGGCGGGTTCCGAGGGGCAGGGCTTCTTCCATTTGACCCTGAGAGAGTGATATCTACACTTGATCTTAAGTTAAGGACACCAACGCCTCCAAGCTCCCGCCCAGGTACTGCTCAACCTTGGGTTTCTCAGACACCAAACAACCCAATTGAAGCTATGTCACAGTCTACATTTATTAAAACTCGGATTTCACGCCATCAAAATAGCTCTCCAACCTCAATCTATGCAGCTGTTGACCAGTTTACAAAGGGTGCATCGCAAATAATGCATCAATTAGCACTGCTAAAGGGAGAGAACCAAAACCTACGACAGGCAAATGAAGTACTAAGCAAGCGCCGGAGAGCTAGGAAAACACGACTACAGCAAGGAGGATCACTTAGTCAACAAGGGGCGCAAGAGCTACAGGATGAGAGGGATGTTGTGCAGCAGGTAGAGCAGGAAATAAGGGCAAGCCGTGGTCGGAAGCCAAGGGAAGAAACCCGTGCCCGTCGCTGTGGCAAGTGTGGTGAGACTGGGCACAATGCGCGCACGTGTCAGATTGTAATAGACACCTCTGAGGAAGAGGACTCCGAGTAGTTTCAATTGATTTCTAATGTTGTGGTAGATTTATCGCAATGTTTGTCGTGAGGGTAGATAATTTTGGCGCTTTCGCTTGTTTGGCGCTTTCGCTATACATGTACGTTATTCAAATAGTCAAATATTATATAAGCATGAATATTCATGATTATGATTATGATTATGAGTTTTTGATAATCATGAATATCCACAGGGTTAGCACAAATAATCATAATAATCATGACTAACGTACTTGACAAGCGAGTCGTATTTGCATGCGAGTCGTATCGCGACACACCAAATCCGCACTTTACGGATACTAATGACCATAATGGCTCAACCGCAGCACACTCAGGCTAGCCAGATTGAAGGCCGAATTGATTTAGCTATTCAGGCCTTCCATCAAGGCTATTTTAGCAACCTCAAAGCGGCTTGTACAACCTACGACGTGCCATACACAACTGTTCGCGACCGTGTTAACGGACGCGTTGCTCGACGCGATTTATACAACCCGCAAACAAAAAACTTAGCAACACAGAGGAGTCAACACTTGTCGAATGGATATTATCTATGGAGGAACGAGGTCTACCCCTTAGATCTGAATCTGTACGGCAAATGGCAAATCTATTACTCCAAAAACGGTCTGATGAAGTCTACTCTACCCCTCTTACAGTTGGCCAACGATGGGTTTACAACTTTGTAAAGCGCCACCCTTTCCTCCAATTAAAATACACCCGCAAATACGATTATCAACGGGCAAAATGTGAAAATCCTACAGTTATTCGGGATTGGTTTCGACTTTTACAGAACACATTGCCAAATATGGGGTTCAAGAAATGACATCTATAACTTTGACAAGACAGGATTTCAAATGGGAGTGATTACAACCGCAAAAGTGATTACGGGTTCTGAGCGGGCCCATAAGCCAGTTTGTGTGCAGCCAGGGAACCGTGAATGGTACCGTTATTGAGTCAATTGCAGCAAGTGGGTGGAGTGTGCCACCAATGGTTATGGTCCATATATCAAGTTGGTATATGGATACCTTGCCTCGAGATTGGACCATTGCAGTTAGTAACAACGGGTGGACGAACGACTCTTTAGGCCTTACCTGGCTTACGGACGTCTTCCAGAAGTACACAAAAGACTGTACAAAGGGTGTTTACAGGCTCTTGATTCTTGACGGGTGGACGAACGACTCTTTAGGCCTTACCTGGCTTACGGACGTCTTCCAGAAGTACACAAAAGACTGTACAAAGGGTGTTTGATTGTGTTGTTCCTGGCTCATGTGGCGGCGCAGAAGGCGGTGGCGATGGCAAGGGTGACCCTAATGACAAGTGTGAATCACCCGTCACAGTGTCAGCCTGCACCTACATCGTGAGCAGCTTCAGTACTGCACCAATGACCGACTATTCAACTACGACAACGGTAAGGAATTCGTTCCCGGGATATATTGTTACGACACTAATGTTGGTTACAGACTTCGTGCTCAAGAACAACTACTTGCGATGGGGCAGATACTAAAACGACAGAAACTGCAGGAGCGTGTTCGTTATCGCTGGATGCTGTATTTTCCAGCGATGCTTTTGCTGCTGGTACAATGGTATCCGGAACCTTGGTTCCAACGGTTCTGTATGTAGCAGACCCTTCAGGATCAACGGGATCCCCTAGCAGCACGACGTCCAATTGCGATGCGTGCTATTATCTGAATAGCAACGAGGTCTTATGTTCGGAAGTCGCCGGATGTACGCCGACTGTGCTTCTTGGTAAGTCAATAACATGTTCAGAGCTGTTCCTATGAAGTTGGGTTCGAATTTGAATGGATGAACGTAATGCTAACAAAGATATGTGCACAGGATTCGTGATGACTTGTTTTACGAATTTGAAGTATATAACATCTACGGTTGGGCGACAGACGGCGGCGACTCCTTACATAACCAGGAAAAAGGCTGTGGTGCTTTAACAGGATGGGATTTTATCGCCGCTACTTCCAGTTCATCCGCATCTGCTTACTTCAACCTGCCATTCCTCATCAAGACCGGCTGTGTCGAGCGCGCCATCGTATCAGCTGGTGGGCCTAAACTGTCGTGTCAGTACCAGGACCATACGTACGACAAGAGAGACGTGCCGGCGTCAGTGCTACCCAGCTTGCGTCCGGAGACCGTGACACCCAACTACACGTACTCGACGACATTCACGTCTGCACCTGCCTATACACCGATGACGTGGGGCCCTGGTAATACGGTTACCCTGACCTGTTTTCACCTCTCTCTCATCGTCTCTGATCACGACAAACACCGTAATCACAAACGCCACTACAGTACCGATTCCCGGAAGCGGACCAAAATCGACTTCTGTATCATCCACTACGACGACAACAACCAGTTCGAGCACCACGACATCTGTCACAGCTCCTGGGCCCACACAGTCAGGAATTACCAGCAACTGTGATCGGTATTACGTGGTCCAACAAGGTATGTCAGTGTCTAATAACCACAACCTCCATGTCAATATCTCCCAACAGTAGTACTAACCTTTAAACCAGGTGATTCTTGTGCATCCGTCGAATCCAAGTTCGGCATCAGTTTCGCCCAGCTCTACGCCTGGAACCCCGCCATCGGAAGCGACTGGACCAGTCTCTGGCTCGACGAAGCTTACTGTGTCGGTGTTTCGGGAGGTTCCTCTACTACAGGCACTACATCTTCTACCACATCGCCGGCTGTGACAGCGCCGGCACCAACACAATCTGGTATCACGGGTTCTTGCACACAATACTATGTCGTGAAATCCGGCGATTCGTGCGGAGCGGTCGAGTCAGAATTTGACATTACATTCTCGCAGTTCTATGCGTGGAACCCGGCGATCGGAAGTGATTGTACGAGTTTGTGGGTTGATGAGGCTTATTGCGTTGCTGTGTAAAGCATTTGATGGAAATCGTGGTTTGATCGTAAATATGTTAATGACATGAGACTACAATTTTTGATCTTACGTGATGTGTACCGCATGAAGTGCCCTATGGAAGCCCATTCAAGAGACGGTCTCGGCCACCTGTTGAGGTCATTCATGTGCGTTTTGTATGATACCAGGATGCGTGCGTTAATGCAAGCACATACATGTCTAGCATGCCGGCTATGTCTCGGCGAACACGGTCACAACATCTAGTGGGAAATTGTCAGGTTAAAAGCAAAGGAGGCAGTTCATGGATCCTCAAAGATGAATACGCAAGTAATTGTCACATACGACCATAGACTCAAGAGAACTGGGCATCCCGTCCGCTCTGCCATACATAACCTTGAGATCGGTGGATTAGTAGTTGGGTGGGTGACCACCAGCGAATACCCACTGTTGTATGTTTCTGCTATTTTTTTTGCTATTTCGTTCCGTGATAACAGCCTCTCTTATACTACGACAATCAATTAATTGTCACATACGACCATAGACTCAAGAGAATTGGGCATCCCGTCTGCTCTGCCATACACAAGCTTGTAATCCACTTGGTTATTACTCTCAATGGTGCCAATAGGCATAGCGTGGAATCTGAGTCCCTTGCCGCCTTAAGGGGTGAAGCGAGGGTGAGCAGGGTGAGCCGAGGGGTGAGCAGGGTGAGCAGGGTGAGCGGGGTGAGGCGACGCGACATTTTCGTGTCAATTTCGTGTCAATCTCGTGTCAATTTGGTAATAGTACCGGAGTGTGGCCGTTTTAGCTTACGTACCTTGTTCAGGTGCCTTGCTCTTATTTTCCATGATCCACCATGTGTGAGCCATATCTGAGCCACGTAGTCTAAGCCTCAAGAAAGTGCAGAGGTGCCACAGGAAGCTAAAGCGGGTGACGACATTATGAAGTTCACGTGATTTGGAGATTTGGGGAAGGAGCCAAATATACAAAACCAACGACATTCGAACTTCTCACACAGGCATGGCAATTCCTTCTACTTGATCTCATTATGCCCTGCACTACCACGAGGTGAAAGCCATCGCAGGCTCCTGACATTTGTAGCGTGGGCACCCTCCACTTGGTTCGGGCCTCACTGAGGGGCCGCGTATCCACTGATCCACCTAATATACGTAGAACTACAACTGTTCTTCACGCCCACTCAAAATTGGAGCGCTTTGAGAAATTCGATCCTAAAGATAGCTCAGGTCATTCTCATCTATTATTGGCAATAAAGGCCGTACAGCTTGTGATTCTAGCCCTAAGAATCAGGCAGAATAAGGCACGTATATTCTGACGTATTGGGTGTAGTTTCGTACAGTACAATAGAGTAGCTTACGGGCCACGGCATAAGTAAAAGCCGTAGCCCCATAGCTGGGAAACCACACTACCTTGACATTTTCGTCACGTGGTTGCTTGGATAAATACTCGCAACCTGGAACACTCGGCGAACATACTATACCCCTCCATTTGAGCTAAAAATTGATAGGACTACCACCACATTCACTTCTGCCCCCGAAGGAGGCTACGCTCCTCCCATCTAGACAACGCTAGAGGGTTAATGAAGAGATAAGGACAATGGAAGGGTCAGTATCGGAGAGGAGTCGCAAGAGAGAGAGAGCTGCCCACGTGAGGGAGCAAATGAAGCTCACGGATGATGGCATAACCAAGATGGAGCACCATGTTCAGCTTTCGAACTTGTGTTGCCTGCTTTGCCGGGATCGTGTTTGTGTTTCAGAAAATTCCTTTGCAGGTATGCTTCTATTCGAATATTTCGATATTTTATTAACGGAAATAGTTCTTGGGTTTGGCTTAGATTACAGAGGTCACACACTAGCCTTTAAATTCCCAGACTACGGCTATCCAATTCGATATATCACTGTTTCATATGGTGGCGAAAAGAAAAAATGGCGTCTCTGCCGCCATGGGCGATGCCCTACCTGTCGCCGGTCTAGATAGGGATATTTTCTACGCCTTGACCCCGTGAGAACATCAATAGATAGGCTAATGCTATGGGATACACCGACACCCCCAGACCAATTCACAATTGTGAATGATGGACTTTCCAAGCCAATGCGCATGAGATGTATAGTAACAGAGCAGTGTACAGGAATCAGTGTTTTTTGCAACGGGCGAAAAATATATGGGATCTACGCTCATAAGGGAAACAGATCCTCAGCCGCTGATATATATAAAAGACTATGCCGCTATCGGAAGGACTCACTCATGTGGATCTATTTTCCTCTGGCTCCAAATGAACGAATCCATGAAGTTTGGATTCGTCGACGATACGGTCCTCGCAAATTGATAACTGATATCGCACTCATGGTAAGAATCAGGCTTCCTACCATTTTACCCCTCCTAATTGTGGCAGATAAGAACTACTCTTGACAGAAGCTGCATTTTTGGACCGTGTCTCGATCCACAGACAGATGATTCCGTGGAGACCTGTTTGAGCAAAGGTCAGGTCTCACACCTTATTCACGAGGATCCAGATGACGGAGACCCAATCCTTTGCTTTGGCCAAACATTACCAAACGATGTCCAATTAGATGCACCGGAAATTCTACAACACCCTCCAAGTTTCCACAATAAGTGGGATCTTTTCCATTCCTGCGCTTCGTTAGAAAATGTTGAACAAGTTTGCTTGTTCTTCGATGAGCGTGGGAGCGACCTCAACAATCTAGACAAGTGTTGTTTAGGATTGTTATTGACGTACTCGAGTGGTCACAAGGAGACATTGGGCCAGTGTCGCGTAGGTCTGTCCTCAACAGCTACAATTGAACATCCCACTGGTCTTCATTTTGCAGAAGTCACTTTTATAGACGGCAAAACCGGGGTTATTGTTCGCGTTGCGTCAGACAATGTGGGAATCAACCTGTCTAATAAGCGCCAATGGCTAAGCACGAAAATGACAGGCATAAAAACATGGTGGATCAATTCCGAAAAAACAATCCCGTGTATTGAGGAGGAAGATATATAATACTCTGCACAACTATTAATCCATAAAGAAAACCTTGCGAACTTTGCATCTTCTCTAAGCCTTTCCTTTTCCTTTAGCTTTTGGAAGAGCATAGGTATAATACTGTGTGCCTTTACTGCTGGTATACACCACACAGGAGACGATGGCACCTTGAACCGCAATCGTGGATGGCCGCCAGTGCTTTTTAGTAGTCTGTCGGTTCTCGAAGCAAAAGAAGACCTCGCTGGGGCGAGTCATATGCGACACAACTTTCCGAGTGACGTCAACATATATCGCCGTCTCGCTGTCCAACTCCGCTACATGCCCTGGGCTTTCCATAGTATTGTCCCCATCCACGTCTTCCTCGTCGCCGTTATTGTCTTGAATACCGGGCACGGTATAGACTTGCGGTCTAGATGTGGTAGTATAAAGAGGAGGGTTGAGTGTCCCTGGGAGGGGACGGGATCCATAAGAGGGGCTGAGGCGGGGTATCCGCTATATTCGACTGGAATTGAGAACTAGGCCACTGAGCTTGAGGAGGGTTTGGGCTTATAAAGCCTGTTGGATTCGCCGGGTACAATGAGCTTGGTTGCATACCAGAGCCATATGTGAGCTGGGTCGCTGGCCCAAGATACTGGCTATTTGCCCCGACCGGGGGTTGCGGTGGTCTCGGAGAACAGTTGCTCCTTAGTACTTGAAGTTTGTCGGCTGATATCATATCGTTTTGGATCATGTAGTTGAAACCGTCCCCTGAGCTCTGTTGCCATAGTGCCGTTTGCTTCGATGTATTCTGTAGGATCGGAGAGACCTGCTGTGACAGGCACCATAGGAAGGAGATAGTCATCGTTCTTGGTGATATACCAAAGGCGAGCCGCAGTCCCTATAGTGGTTATAGCATACATCTCTTCCCTGCCAATCCCGATAAGATGTACCATACAGGCATTATAGGCTTGGTGCTCGAGTTCATCGACTTCGGTCTGAGAACAATTTTGCTTCTTTGCCTCGAAAAGTGCGATTATTTGCCAACGATTAGATTTCCATCTTTCGATACGAAGATCTACCCTGCGCCTATCTTCCCGATCGTCCGTTGGGGGTTGCTGAGATGAGATTGCCCAGTCATCACCAATGAAGAATTGCCCCTTGAGCACATACTCCCAGAACCTCGTTGCAGCCCACTCTGGCCTTGTCTGAGCTGTCTCCCATAACGATCTGGTGCGCTGGTTGATTATCAGACTCATGCTTCCTAAGGTGGTATATAAATATAAAGACCGAGAGTAAGGTTGTCGAGGATACGCTGCTGAAGATGTTTCCACAAAGATTTTGTAGTAGAGATATCGAGGCAAAGATATCGAGCAGAATGTAGTACAGTATATGGTATTTTGGCAGATTCATTCCTTCTAACTAAACATACAAGGCAGTCATATCGAAGAACAAATCTAGCTCCCATTAACGGAAGCTGGGTAGCAATGTAGGAGGTACTGCATGCATATGTATCTTCTCATGCAAAATGAGAGCTTCTACCATGTAAGGTTTTATATCTAATGTCGCTTTCTGATGTACTTAAACATAGCCATGTTGGCGCCAGCCTTGTCAATAACGTTTTCGGTCGCCTACAGCAAACAGGAGAGCTCCAATAGTCGGAGGCCACGTCGATTGAGCACCACAGAGAATTAGGCATCCATTCGCACCGTGTTCCCCCCGTGGGGTTAAAGATCCCAGTGTATGGAGAGCAGCGTGTTTCTCCACACCCTCACTTTTAACAAGTGTTTGAGGCTGGGTTACAACCGCGAGGATGGTAAGATACGACGGTAAGGGTGCGAGGCGGGCACATTAGAAGGCTGGATGTGGTCAGACTGGTTGTTTTACAAAATACAGGGTGAGTGGAACACAGACATTCCGCTTCCTCTGCTCGTCTTCCTACCGAATATAATGGGCCCATGATTGACGCCTAGAGAAGATGGGGACACCTGGAAGCTCTCGCTCGCGCGAAAGTTGACGCCGCCTCACTTCCGTCTTCTGCCGTGGCTTGATCACCAGGCACAGAACGCGCAATCTGCTTCACGTGATAAAACAAAGGTACTGATTAAGTAAGAGGTATTAAAAATGAATATTAGTCTAAAGGATGGTAGAGATAGTGAGGAGAAGAAATGCGCAAACTGTTCAGGAACTGTATTTACCTATGCTCGCATATTATGATTGAGATGGCCCGAACGTCTGAGGAAGCGTGGAAGCTAACGTTGCTATTATGAGAAGTGGAGTGTGCTTCATATGTCAACGGCGCCAACTAGTGGTTGGATTAGAGGCACCAGCCTATCGCCTGATCCACCAGTCAAGTAGCGGCAATCGTTATCCGTTCGTCTGCCTCCAAACCGCCCAACGTTCTCTGTACCTCCACGGCGAAGGATAAAACGACAACCTCGCACATTACTTCTGTCAACATGGCAAGCACCCAAGAATGGTTCTTCCGCAAAGTCCATCTAACCGACCGATTACTGCGCACCCGCAAAAGCGTCGAATCTCATCGCTTCTTATTCAAACGGCAGAGGACGACCTGCATCACCCGTCCAAAAAGCAGAAACTTAACTATCCAGCATTTCCACCTGCGCGATTTTGGGACTCTCTATCGAGGATCCCTCTCACACGAAACGCACTACGAGAATTGAACGAGAGGAACGCAAAAGCCTGTTCCAGCTCAGCAGATACTCGAAAACTTCGAAGGCGTGGATCGAATTCCCACCACCAGCTGACCGTTCCGCAGCGTTTCGCAAGACACGGCGGCCCGGATCTGAGAGATCTGAGAGGAGTATGCGGTCATCCTTGTGCGATTGCACACTCATACTGACACAGAGTAGTACCGGATACCAACGGGCCCGGAAGACGACATGAGTCCTAGACCGTCGAGTCTTGGGCGTCGGAAGAGAGGTTCGCAGTCGCCGACAAAGAGGGGCTCGGATTCACCATCCAAGAGCAGCGCTACCCCGAATACGACAAGCACAAGGAGCACAGGACCATATGATCGTGCATTTCAGCAGCATCTGATCGATCATGACATATTCCCTAATGGCTATGAGTATCCAGATGGTCATACGCCACCAGAGCCCGAGAATATGGACGAGATAGTTTATGCACTGGGTCAACCCAGAGCCTCTCTCTCGCCAAACAAATTCTCAAATGAAGACTTCCGAAAGTTCAAGCGCGCAGACACGCATGCCTCCAAGGAGAGAGAGGTCACAACAAATGTCATCCCAGTCGTCGAAGGAAACATTGGCGATAGTAAATGCGTTGCAGGCGAGATCCCATTCACGAACCTAGACTATTTGACCGATGGTACTCTCGTACCTGGCAATCCCGATCTGTACTATGGCGCACGACCCGAACAGGTTGATCAGAACATTCGCAGAGAGCTTGCGCGTCGGATTGTCCCGTCTACCCAGCATGATCTCCCTGTCGCTCCAAACTTCTTTCTCCAAGTTAAAGGCCCTGACGGATCTTTGGCAGTTGCGTCCCGACAGGCAAGCTACGATGGTGCCTTAGGCGCACGAGGTATCCACAGCCTGCAGTCATTTGGGGTGTCAGAGCCACGATACGACAACAACGCATATACCATCACATCAATATATCATGGGGGCCAGCTCAAGATGTACACTAGTCATCCAATATCACCTTCAGTACCTGGGGCACAGCCCGGAAATGTCATGACGCAAATTAACACGTGGGGCTTGACTGGCGATGCCGATACTTTTCGAAAAGGGGCTGCTGCATACAGGAATGGCAGGGACTGGGCAAAGCGACAAAGAGACAGCGCGATCAAGCAGGCTCACGAGAACGTATCACAGCATACGGCAGTTGCATCGTCACTGGAGGATGGCCCAGGACCGAGCTTTACAAGTGAAGGGTCTTCTAACGAAACAATTGCCAATAGCCAACAGATCATCCTAAACCTCGATGCCGACTTGCCACCGTCATATGAGTCCGACACTTCCACAGATGAACTATCGGAGGGATTTCATAGCCTCAAACGCCGTCGGTCACACTCTCCACGGAAGAAGCTGTAAGGGAAAAAGGCCAGGCCACTTTGTCGTATCCTCTTGAGTAAGATCGCAATAAAACGGTTACTGCGAATCTTGCAGACCCAACTATAAGCGGGATCATATTCAGAGTTGCTTTACAGCCACTCTTGACTGAAAAAATTTAATGAGTTCCAACCTAGTCTTAGTGCATACGGCACGTAGTATACAAACCATACACCTTCTACGGCCACAAACAACTCGCATACGCTGGGTACTGCTTTGAATACCCATACACCTCACTTAGCTCATCATTTAACAGATGCGGGCCCTTCAGATGATCCCTCTGCTGCGCAAATACGTGTCTAACCAGCGCCACATTCCATGCAAAACTCGAGTGCCCCACGCCCACAAACTGCGACGCACGCAGCATAACTAAGAAATCCACCATCCCTTGCTGATTCCACGACAGTGCCCCTAGCTGCGCCGCGTCCTTAGCGCCAAGTAGATCAAACTTTGTGGAAACAGTGAAGTTTTTCTCTGCCGCCTCGTACGCAAACTTGGCTACTTCCTCCTGGTCGCCGGAGGCGACGTACATACGCTTTAGCCCCGATGCGAGGACTTGCTTGAAATAGAATTTGGCCTGCGTCTCGTAGCGGGTGTAGACCCAGTCTTCTGCGGGCCAACCGAGCTGGGCGTCATGCTCGGTGCGGAGGTGCGCGCCAAAGAAAAAGTTGGGGAGGATGGACTGGGAATGGTCAAGGACATAAGACGCATTAGCGGCGAGGGCGAGGAGCGTTTTAGTGGCCAGGATGCGAGTATTGGCGCGGAATTTGAGGAGCTTGCCGAAGGACAGGGCAAAGTTCTCGCCGTCGCTGTATATGGGGTAGGTGAGGTATGAGCGCTGAAGTTTGACGATCATAGATCCCTCCGGTGAGGGCCCGACGTGCTTGCCGAGCCAGGTGTGAGGGGTGGGGCGCGTAGGATGTGGGGCGGGGCCGTACATGGCTTCGCTCATGGAGGCGTGGCGGAGAATTCCCTCCATTTCTCTGGGTGCGCTATTCCCGTTGGCGGGGCCTCCTCATCCAGCGACTCAGGGAGCAGGGCGATTGGATCATAGAATACCTCCCCCTTCAGATCCTGGATCTGGTCATACACTTTCAACCCGGGACAGGACAGGCGCAGCGACTGGCGAAAGTGCGTGGTGTCGAACATATACTCCATGCCTGTCTTGATGCCTGTGCGGATCTCGGCACTGTTAGAGTCATTGCGCAAAACGATGGGTGGTTCTACGAGAGCGGCACCGGCGATAATGGCAAAGCGCACGCAGTTCAAAATAGAGTTGCGGATGTTGCCAATGCCGCCTACGCTCTCAGAGCATGTAAATACGACGGCTGGGTTCCACTGGGTGTCGGCGCATATGCCGCGAATGGACTCAGAATCAAGAAGCGGGAAGTTGAAAGCATCATGGGGTGAGGTAACGTTGAATTGTGACTGTTGGGGCTGGAGGTTTAGGAAATTCCGGGTCCTGTGGATGAGGCCGGCGATAAGTTGAAAGTACAGAATGATGCCGACGCCGAAGGCAAAGAAAACGGCAATGCGGGGGAGATCGTCAAGCCGGACCATGGTATCATGCTAGAAAATGAGTAAATGACAATATGTCACAAGTTTCTCTTCGTTAGACAGAACGTTGTTCCTGGCGTGGGATACGATTAACTCATATTCTGCTTTTTGGCGCGGTAGTGTACCTGGATCGTGGATGCGCGGCCCTTCACTAATTGAGGGGCCGCGCATCCGTGAATCCGTGATATTTTTGCGAGGAAGACGGTCCGCAGCCCGAACCACGGCTGGTGCTGATCAAGACTCACCAAATTGAGGGGCCGCGTATCCACGGATCCACCCAATATACGAAGTACTGACGGACGCACTGCTCTTATTCCGATTCAAAGGGCTCCAGGACCTTGTCGTAAAAGCCTAATTTCCCAGGGTCAAGGTAGACCTTCACGGCGTATGCCAAATTCTGGACGTCATGATTATCAAGAGTTGTCGACAGCATGTTATCAATCTGCTTGGAAGCTTCAGCATTTGCCACCTTCTCCATATATTCCTTCCGCTCTTGCCACCTTCGCTTTGTGTCCTCATCTAAGGGCTGACCATTCTCATCATAATTCCAAGGTGCGTCCATAGGGAAAGGCACCGTTTCCAAGAAAAGTGGAAATTCCACCAACTTTCAAGGTACAGTACACGCACCTTCCCAGTCGATGACACCAAGTATCTTGTAACTCTCGTCGACAATAATATTGCTATGAAGAAAATCCGGATGCCAGAGGGGAAACGGTCCATTATCGCAGGAAGAAAGTCGACTGGCTACTGCCTTCATCCTGCGAGGGAATTCTGAGATCGACGAAAGCACCTCGTTCACTAGCCCATTATTCATGCTCTTCCGAATTATATCGCTTGATTTCGGGAATTTGGCTTTGGCTGCCCAGGCCTCGAAGAAGGCTGTTTCAGTGTCAAACGGTCCACCTAAATCCGGCAATGGGCCAATATCGTAGCTGCCATCTGTGCACTTGATAATAGTCCCTATCCTTGACAAGCGTACCGATGCCATCTCTACCTGCAATAGTGCTTATCAGACAGATGCATGGCGTTATTTAAAGATAATATCAGAATATTTACCTGAATCTGGGCCACCTCGTTGTAAAAGGTCGTCTTGTGTTGAGGAGGAATCTCGCCGTTATGAGTTTCATAACCACCATCAACGTCCATGGCGACATTCCCAGGAAGGAACTCCATCAGGATGAATGCGACTCCAACTGGATTACTGTCGTTTGTCTCGTATCCAAATACCCGTGGCACAGCAATGTTTGATCGTTCTCTGAGAATTGCCATTGCATCTACCTCTCCTTGCAGCTTTCTAGCCCATCTTTCTGTCGACTTACACAGTTGAATCCGTGCGATCCATCGAAACTGGTTGTCGAATTCAAGCAGGCGAACCAGGTGAAATTGGCCATTGGTGATATTTGGGAGTATTCTGCATTTGATGGAATTGTTAAGAGATGAGGCGTAGATCTCCAAAACAACCCTATCAACTGTCTTGTGAAAGTATCTAATCAATCAGCTGTAATAATCTGCAACTACTGTGACGGCGGGGTTTTTACAGGATGCGAAAAGGGAAAAGGGAGGAGGTTCGACGGCTGAGCACTGTCACGGCAGGGATAGTGGTGAATGCGACAGGAATGGCGACGGGAGACGCCAAGGCTGCTAACGGCGCAGTAATTTTGAAAGGCAGTGTCGGACTGCCGGTGGGATAAGCATTGAAAAAACCGTTGGACCCATCCGAGATCCGTTTAGGGCTGGTTTTTGGATCGTGACAGTCTCCCATTAAGAATTAATTATGGGTCTGGCGTCATCGCGCATCGCCGGTGAGGGAGATCGCGGCAGATCTACACCCAAGCATCTCGGCAGATTTATTGGCGATTCAATGAAGTGAAGTTATAGTGCACTGCGGGCTTTCGCCTTATATTGTAGTATACATAATGGGTTATTATACTACCTGATGGGTTGAGATACTGTATATTATGGGATGCGGGATGCGGGATGCGGGACGGGATGCGGCGAGGAGGATGTGGGAGGAAGTTAAGGGAGCGGGATGCTAGTTCGTGGTTGGTTGACCATACGTTGAAAGTGTGGTAACGACGCAAGATATGACCACTAAGGATGAAGTTACAGAATGTCACTATCACCACTATTGCCCACCCCCATGCTAATGATTCAGTCATAGAGCCTAGTTATCGCCACTCGCAACGCCTAATCCAATGACGGCTATCAAGTGTCAGTTCCCTAGTCATATCTTGCGCTGGTCTAACAACTGCCAACTCCTAGAGTGCTCCTAACTAAGGGGTTAGCCCTCCCTTGGGATCGGCTTAGGAGTAACCGGAAATGGAGCACAAATATCCGAAGCATATACTGAGAACAGGCCATAGGACCAGTACCGCCGACAAGTCGCTCAAGACCCTCCTGGAAACAGTCAAGCCTAACATCGCAACTGAGGCACTTCCGGGGACATCGTCATAACAACCGCTTTAACCCTAGTGCATCCTCGACCTTGCCACGATCCTCATCGAACGACGTTTTGCCCAGTCGCTCGCAGCATTAAGAAAGTAAAAAACCACCAGACGCCGACGTAGGCACTGCCCCGGCGATAAACGAGTTCTACTCCTGTTACCTTTCCCTCCTTTGCCTCTCCATCAATGAGCTCTGTCGCCATCCTCCTCGCCTGCGGTACTAGCGACATCGTTAAGAGTCTCGTATAGATGGAGTCCATGGCGACAGATGCGGAATAACTGCGTGAGGGAGGCATCACTTCACGTCCTGCTCTATATATTGGCGCATCAGTGTTGGTGGCTGTGGATGGATGCATAGCCAGGATCGTGGCTGAGTCGTTGCAAGGTGTACATGTAATTCTTACAAACAATGAAGTTCAGAAAGTGGCACCATGGCGAGTGGAATGGCCGTTATTCCTTGTGACGCAGTCTAAACACGCCGAGCGAGGGTAGGGGGTTCGCTCGATCTGCCTCATAGTGTGCACATAATTAATAAGCCACAAATACACCGAGACAGATATTGGCCATTTCAGCTTTACCTATCATAATCTATACCTCGATCTTGATGCTGATCTTCCGGATTTTTAGACTCAGTTTGACTTTGTCCGGTGCCAATCGGTCCGAACCATGTCCGGCGGCAGAGAGACATCATGGAAAGTAAACTTGGTCTTAGAACTGACGGATTGTTGGATTTTGAAGTAGTACATCCTAGTGCTGCTGGCGCCGAGACCTTAAATGGACGCCATTCCTCATCAATTGTGCAGGGAATGGCGGAGTTATCATATAATAAGGTAACGGGACGTCAAAATAGGGCCGGGTCCTGCGTGTCACACCTGCATGGCTGTTTATCCGGAGCTGCGTGAACGGCCAAGGGTCGCAGTTCGTAGATGAAACCTTGATAGTACTATAGTACCTTCAATTTCATCAACAACCCAACGAGTACGAACCTCATGGGTTTGGCAACACAATAAGAGCCCTTCATTACTAGAGGATGCTAACAAGTGCATTTGGCAATGCTTATATTGTACTAAACAATACAAAGGGTTGGGTGGTACAGCTGCTCCAGCAAAGCACTTGACAGATTTACACCAAGTGACAGATACTTCAAAGGAGCTACGAGTTAAGAACATGCAGATCTAGTTGTGAGGACTGTAACTGGAACACATCGGCATTGTCTTGGAAGCTGCTAGTATTAAGAGAAGATAAAGTACTAGAATCTGCATTTTGTCATACTGACATTCGTTGCACTCAGTTTGCTATCAAACTCAAGAGCAAACTTAGAAATCTCCTCCTCAAACCTACAAGTCACCATACATATCTTGGCTTATCACACCAACAACAGAAGCAATACTACTCAACGATTGCTGAAAACTCTTCTACTACATCTGTTTATGCTACATACATCACGGCATATCATTTGGACACTCATTGAACAAGTTATTAAGAAAATCTCCTCCTTAAGGGGGTGGGCCAATACTACCACATGGCATATCTCTACCAACTAGAGGCCTAGGAACATGAACGATAGCTCTAGAAGCTTCTACAACCCTCTATGATTCATTACACATCATCGCTCCTTAGTTACCCACAAGATTGGTTAAGTTATGACATAATTTGTCTATAGGTACTCTGACCTTGGACCTCCTTTTCACTTCCTATAGGCTAGGGACCCAAGAGATGGTTCTATGGGATTCTCTTATGTTCACTACATGATTAGCAAGCTAGTTGTGGGTCGCACTTGACTTCTAATACATTTACCAAGCCTGGTTAGTCATGGAAAGTCATGGAAAATGAGAGAACTACACTCCTTTGGCATAAATAGGATTGCCCTTTCCTTAAGAAAGGGCAAGCAGGCAATACAGTAAATCGACTAGCACATACTTCTACATCTTTTCCAAGCTTCCAAGCATTGATCTTGTTATTCTCTGTTTTTGAAAAGTCAGTGAGGTGCTAACCTCTGACTTACCCCTGAGTTCTCAGACTCAACATTTGTTGCAACTTGTCTAAACCACTTCACCACATCATACACCTGATTGCTGCGTTGTGGAATAGTCTAAGCTACAACCCTTTGGCTCTGTTTCCTAAGACAGTGTGTTGTCTTAGTAAATTCATCCCTTCCTTGGGTGGCTAGATTCTCATATCTGGTGCACCCACCATTACACATTTGTTGAAGCCATAGTACTACTATATAATAGTAATATACTACGCGTGCAGAGTTTTCAACGGCACTTATCTACTAGCTTCATAGCTATATTTAACATCATTATCATCACGTGTATTATAATAAGCGATATTGTTTATATTGTTTATATTGGCAATATAATATGGGGCATATCATACGAGTATTGTTGACCGGCGCCGTAGGCGCCGGTTATGTAAGCATCCTGCCATGAAGCCACGTAAGCACGTGATTAGACGTTAGTCACGTGGCCTGCGATGCGTAAACCCAGTAATATTGCCAACCCCTCCAAACCCACCTTCCTTCTTCTTCAACAACGCGAGGGCCACCACCAACCCAGCCACGACTGAGGCTTGTACAGTGCTGCACACTTCAACGTTCATATGGCAGCGATATTTCTGAAGTAGAAACGGGTTGTATGGAACTACCCAACGGTTGTTACGGACCACATTCTCAGTCCGCAAACCTGGCCGTGGAACCGCAAACGTCCGCCCGTCATCCCGGCGCCTATATTCAGGGTAACCCTCATCATTAATGATAGTAGAGGCTGTAAATGGCTTTGGGAACTTCTTTGAACAGCGTAGAGGTGACGTAGGCGTTTTACGGGCCATACATGGTGCCTGTGGGTAGTCATCTCCACATGGCCCATGTGTCATAGTAGAGACGACTACCTCCGTAAGCTCGCCCGTAACATCCCATGAAGGATGTGGTAACTCAGCACAAATCACCTCATCAATAAGATTAGGAACGTTAAAGTTGAACCCCTTAATGAAGAGTAATAAGTGCATATGCGGCAGACCACGCTTCTGATACTCAATAGTATATACATGGCCAGCGTATTCACCAAGCACACCAGCCCGTAGGTCCGCAAGTAGGCTACGGACCTTTAAGTGAAACACCCGTGCGATAAGATCAGGCCGATCAGCTGCTTGCTGACCCGGAAAGAGTGCGTGGGTGATTTCTGGCCACTTTGGATTAGCCGTAAAGGTGATAAAGAATGTAGGCTTCCCAAAGTGCCGTACAATAGCCATTGAATCCTGGTATAACTGCTGCATAGCACAGTCGCTTCCTATATAACTGGATGGCAGTACTACACGGCGACCTAACTCTTCCACATTAACGTCATCGCGTGATATAGCATCAGCTAGGCCGTTATAGACGTCTGCGCGGATCGATTTCTGACGGTTACGGAGCCAACTTAGGGCCGTAGACTCGCATATAACTAATATATCAACCGCAAACTGCTGAAATAGACGGCCGGCATAGTGTATGGTATTAAACCACTCTTTACGGGTGTGCATATAGTAGCGGTAGAATGGTCTTTGCTCTAACCTCCTGTTCTGCCGCGGACCGCTATTCTCCCGTAAGGTAAGACCATAGTGCCATCCGTATTCACCAAACACAAAGAGGAGGACGTAATGGAGTGGCATATAAGAAGCATGAGTAACATGAACCTTTGATAGCTGGCGCCGCCCTTCTAAGGTGTTATGGAAGGCTAATACCAAGTCTCGCGGACCAGCATCACCTAACTCATCTGGAATAATAGCCGCAATCTCATCACTGGTTGGCAGGTTCTCACGGCGCTTATCAGCACCCTTCTCAACTATCAGCCGCATTTGCGGGTTGAGTATAACCCGAAAGGGGCTATTAGTAGCCGTAGCAGCCGTAAGTCGCTCTCGGGCAGTCTTATATATCAAAATAAACGGATTATGGTCCGTAAGTAGCTGTAGAAGCTGCATAAGGATCGTGGAATCAAGTTGCGGGTGTTGCCTCCGGCGGGCTTCAGTTGCGTACGACGGGTCGTAGAAGAACAGCTGTGCAAAGGCTGGCGTTTCCTGGGTTGTAGGTTGTAACGGGCCTTGGTAATGGAACAGCTCGCCATGGATTTGAAAGCTTTGTACACCAACGTTCTGCTGTATCCGCGAATCGCGAGTATAGCTTACGGAAGTGAAAGCGAGGGCGTTATTATACTCGCAGATCTCCTTACGGAAGCCCCTTCCTAGCGGGTTCTGGTCCGTAAACAGCTTCCGTAGATATAAGGGAGGTCTCCGTAAGGCAGGGAGGTTAACGTCTCCTTTTTTACAGCAGCTCTCATACTGCTTATCCTGCGTAGCCTCCTCCACCCAGTGTAGCGCAGTGCAATATTCACACTCATGGTTAAGCTGGCCAAGGTCGTGCGGGGCAGCCGTAACAAATCGAGAGAGAAAGCCAGGCGGCTTAGGCTGGCGAGGCGCAAGAGGCTCCTCAGTAGGGGTAGACTGCGTACGGTGCGGAGTAATAGGGCGAAGTGGTATGGGGATTGGAGGCTGACGGCGAGGGCGACCGCGGCCGCGCCGTTGCGGAGGGGCGTCCGTAGGAGGCTGTGGGCGGGCCGTAAGCTGGTAGTCACTAAGTAGGGCGTCCGTAGGAGGCTATAGACAGTCCGTAAGCTGGTATTCACTAAGTATAAAGGGAAGTACTACTGTAGGTGGTGATGTCCTACCACGGGCCTGTATCCTACGGCGAGAATTCCGGGAGGTAGAGCATAGAGAGCACGTTGCGTACCGGCGACCTAGGCGATTCGTACGGAACAGCAACGACTCCCGGTATGCATGGCAGTGGGAACACCGAATTGGAGGGGAGGAACTCATAAGACCTATATCAAAGGCACAGTCTACAGCTAGCTTTAGGAGGTAGAGCTATATACATTAATAGTTACGGGTGCAGACAGGGGCTACGGATGGCAGGTACGGACCGTAGAACAGTGGATCCCAGGGTGAAAACCGTGCACCTTGAGCCTAGAGAAGTAATAAGCGGGTCTATATACGCCCTAAGCAATCATGAATTTCGCCATTTTGTAGCCAATCAATCCTGCAGGGGGTAGCCAAAATGTATTATAATATAGATTGCCAAGGAATGAAGGAAGGCCATATCGTATTGCCAAGCATATTGTTTATATTGCCAAGACTCATATTGCGATATATATCACAATATACTGCCAAGAACCAATATACTACTGGCAACACTGCCCAGAGATGTGGTTTGGAAGATGGAGTTAAGGGAAGACTAAATTCCCATTCTTCAAGCGCCTTCTCAAGTGGAATAAGTAACCCATATAAACGGTGACGAGATACCGACTTTGATGCTCCAACGTTTGAGCAGCTACTTGTCCGACTTATTGCTAGATGCTCATTATCATTCACAATTGTCCAATGCACTGAATTCCGAGACTTAATACATTTCTTAAATGTTAATAGTGAAGAGTCTTTACCTCGAAGCCATAGTACTATACGAGAATGGGTAGTTCGAAGATACAAGCAAGAGAGGGTCAAGATTCAGCAAGCTTTGCAGTCATCTCAGTCGAAGATCCATCTTACTGTTGACTTATGGACATCTCCAAACACAAAGGCATTAATGGGTCTAATTGCACACTACATTGGGGAGAATGAAGGGATAGTACCGACTGTCGCTACGAGAGCTAGAAGGACAGCATACAGGTGACAATCAAGCCCAATTAATATATACTGTACTTGAAGAGTATGGTATATTATCAAAAGTTGGGTATTTCATGATGGACAATGCATCAAATAATGATACTATGATGATAATCCTTTCAAATTGTTAGTCCTATTACAAAAAATGATAGTACTATAAAATTCTAACTTCTACTATATAGTACTATCACTCCAAGGTGTTAAATATGATGCTCAACACTACCGACTTCGTTGCAATGGCCATATCATCAACCTAGCAGCACAAGCATTCTTATTTCCATACGGGGATGCTATTTCTGTGGATAACAACTCTCAAGAAGCATCACAAGTACAGGTTGAAACATGGAGGAATGCAGGCCCGCTAGGGAAGCTACATAATATTGTAGTGTATATTCAACGTTCTCCCCAACGCCAGGCAAGGTTTGAGAAGTATAGTGATGGTAAAAGGCTTGCTCGGGATAACAAGACTCGATGGAACTCATGGTACTTGATGCTTCATAATGCTCTTGATGACAATATGAAGAAAGCTAACAATGGATACTGTCACAAGGAGTACTACGACCTAAGCCAAGATGAATTGACAGAGAGTGATTGGATAATACTATCACACATCCATGACTGGCTCCAGTTCTTTCATGAAGCGACGTTAGCTACAGAAGGCTGAGAAGCTACACTAGAACGGGTATTATTATCTATGGAATTCCTTCTCGAGCAATTAGAGAAAGGCAAACAACAATTTCAAGATGATATAATACTTAGTCCATGTTTCAACTCAGCTTGGAAGGTTATAGACAAGTATTATGCACTAACTGAGCGGTATGTAATAGTACTATCTATAGTACTATCTATAGTACTATCAATAGTCTATAGTACTAACACTTTATAGGTCTTCTGCATATATTGCTGCTGGAATACTCATTCCAAGTCAAAAATGGAAGTATTGCGAAGAGAATTGGCCTATTAATTGGGTAACACCAGCAAAGATAGCTGTTCAATCACTATGGGATGAGCATTACAAGCCAACAATTGAACCATCAATTATAGCTGCAATTCAACCTCAAAATAAGAAGAGCACATTTGAGGAGTGGGCTACACAAAAACGCCATCAACCAGCTATTCAAGATGAGTATTTGAAATACTGCCAAGCTCCAGTTACCACTGAATGTGATGCTCGGGGTTGGTGGATGGAAGGCGCTCAGCGGATAGCATATCCAAACCTCCAAAAGATGGCTCTTGATATCTTATCAATACCTTCAATGAGTGCTGAGCCTGAACGTTTATTCTCAGGGGCAAAGATCACAATTACAGATCGAAGGAACCGACTAGGGGTTGATACTATTGAGTATTTAGAGTGTTTGAAGTCATGGCTAAATCTTTCAACTAATTCTTGGATTGATGATGATGAGTAGTACTATTACTATTTCATTCTATATTAATGCTATTAGTTTCTAAATTATTATATATAGTATACTACAGCATAATACCTTACTGTCTACAGTATTATGGCACAGACAGGCATCACAGTCAATTTGCCAGGTCAAGTGATGCTAACTGCACGAACTGCACGAACTACACCAACTACACTAGCGTCACTCTAGGTTTGTGACATTTAATAGTACTATAGTACTATAAACTTCTTCTACGTAACAACCTCTGATCCTCCTCTACCTCCTCTACACTCTGACAAGCATGAGGAGCCGACCTCTGAGGAATGATGAATAAATCATCATCCCCATTAGGAAGGATGGGTTTGAGGAGGTCAGGATCCCCAACACGGGACTCTCTCTCATAACTCCGAAGGGCCTCAGCCAAGGCATCTAATGAGCCAGCGTCAGTGCCAAGAATATCACGCCTAATCCGAAGGATTAGGGCAATCTCCCGAGCAAAGAGGCGGCGACGCCCAGCCTGAAGCCACTCATCCTCAGCCTCACGGTAAGTGAGACCCAAAACTGCCCATCTCTCACCACTAGCTCCAACCATCTCTACCTCCTTCTCCCCCCAATCCCCCTCATCCCCCTCATCTCCCTCATTTCCCCCATCTTTCGCTTCTAGACTCGCTGGGCTCCATGCTGGCGAGGCAGTACCAACAGGGCAGGGCGCAGAGACAACAAGGCAGGGCGCAGAGACAACAGTTGGTGCAGCGGCCATCAGGGTGGGCAGTAGTGTTTATAGTGCTGCAAGCAAACTCATGCTTTACTGTGCCTTTCATGCAGTGGGAGCAAGCAGCAAGGGCGACAACAGCGCGAGAATAAGCCATCTCAGCTAAAGCTTGACTCTTTCTAGAGCCTTTGAATTGTTGAAAGTCGGCTAGAGAAATATCAGGAGGGCCTTCTAGTATGTGTGGTTGTGCCATTACAGCAGGAAACTTTGATGGCGGTGCCATATTTGCCTATTTTCAAGTTAGTATATAAAATAAAATAGTAAATTAATAGTATTATAGATAGTACTATTGTCGTACTTACTGATCTTGCATATAGTAACGATGTAGAAGAAAGAAGAAAGAAGAAAGGAAGGGCAAAATAGTGAGGTTATAGCTTAACATCATAACAGGCGTTGATAGTACTACAATAAGTAGTACTATCAAAACAATAGTACTATAATAAGTAGTACTATCAAAGCAATAGGGGTAACTTAAACACGTGATATTCTACACTATTATTGTCACGTGATGTCCATATTGGTTATATTGTTTATATTGTTTATATTATACTGTATTGCCAAGCTTTATTAGCGCCATATTGTGGCAATACAATATGGGAATTTCCTAGCAATATACTGCCAAGCCGCACTATTGGCAACACTGTCTCTGGGTATGTACTACCAGACAGGAGGATCTAATAAGGAATTAATATTAATATGATAATAGTAACTTTTTTCTACGGTCCTAAAAGTTAGTATTGATATCACTACTTCAGCGCACATACGAGAACCAGTAAATTTATATCGAGATTCCGAGGATCAAGGTTAATTCTGACATCAGAACGTTAGCATTATGAATCAAATATTGTTAGTGACCTTTATATCCAAACCTTAAAATAGAGAAATATCAAACGTCAAAACGAACATGGTAGGAAGGTGTGCGGGTATGCAGGGTTTACTCGGCCCGATCCCCCTATTCTATTTGACACAAACTCCCACGCAAGTTACCACACCACCTGTCAAATATGCGGGGGCTATTTAATAACCCGAAGGCCTACTCCCACTTACTTTAATCCTCCTGTGTCGGGTGAAAGTCCGGAATCTCTAAACACAGAAGAAATAGGACTGCCGAGCAGCACATTTGTTTACTTAACTCCACCGATCACACACCGAAACATCCTCGAAGAGCACTTGCTCCGCTTAGCGGCCTCCTTTTGAAAGGTCGCTTGACAGTATAATCCCAGGATAGAGCTTCGACGCACTTACCACCTGCCAAACTGCAACTGCCATACCTTTAGTGATTTTAAGATGCTAAACATTTCGGCCCTTTTTCGCCCGCGGATTCGCGGAGATCATAAATTGGCACAAGTGAGAATGTGGGGAACCCCTGTTGCAACGAGGGCGACTACGGCACTATTAGCAAAACCACCGAAGTAGGGCTGGCACGAACAATGGATCCGTCACCCCTTTAGTCATTCCTCGTTTCTTCTCAACCCATTCTTCACCATGCCATCTTTCAATTCTGCTCTGATCGCGGCCCTAGGCCTGCCTTTTATCAAGCTCGCTCATGGCCAGATCTTCACAGTCAACTGTTAACCGCTGACCATCCAGCGCGGCGACTCCATCATCAGCCCAGGGGCCATTTCTGCACATGTACGTGCCGTCATTGGCGGAACTGCCTTCCAACAGACCATGGGCTTGAATACGGCAGTGAATGCTAAGGACACTACGTGTGACAAGAAGATCGATAAGAGCAACCACTGGCAGCCACAGCTGTCCCACCAGAACTCTGATGGCAGCTTTGACTTAATCCACTTCCAAGGAACCGTAAGTGCATGGGAGACAGAGACTTGTGCTAAACAGAGCTGATATCTTTTAGGCTGTGTACTACTTGAACCGAGCGTGCGACTATGAGGAGGGAAGAACTCAGTGCCCGTCCGGCTTCTCCCCTGCAGCTCCTCTGGCTGGTCTGCGCATGGTCACTGGAAACCCAATGCGTCGATAAGCAAAACTAACCCCCTTTATATATTATTTATATTTGGTGTCAAAATTGACCCCAGAAACTTCTGAACAATTGACGAATCGCTTTTCGAACACCAAGCTATGCAGCATGCAGACAGCAGTGACGACACCTACAGACTTCCCACACAATCTTGTCTTCGTATGAGAGCAGAGACCTTCTTCCCATCCTGCTGGGATGGCGTCAACCTCGACAGTGACAACCATTCCTCTCACGTGAGTTGCACCCCCTTCTAGCCTTATCTACAATCCTTCAACTTATAACACAACGCTCTTTATGTCTACCCCCCACTAACCATATCTCTAGATGGCCTACCCTACAATTGGCACCTACGATGTGGGAGTGTGCCCAGAGTCCCAGTCTCTTCTACGAGTTCTTCTATGACATTTCAACAAGTGGGCGTATGCGATGGGTGACCTAACCGCCTACGGTCTGCACGGCGGCTTCATCAACGGCTTGACGGACCACCGCGCTGGAGACCGCCATCCAAACCTGTTCTGGCCCAGACGGTGTTTATTCTAAAGACTGCAGCATTAATGTATGTGATAACACCCCCAATCTCTTCCTTACGTATATATTTCAGGATTATGAACCTATACCCCGATCTTGTTAGAAAAGACGCACAATTAACAACTGAATAGAAGGATGCTGGGGTACACTGGATGTCCTTAAATATAAACTTGCAGCTTTTGTTACGTTGATGTGCTGTCACGCGTTGGCTCTTATCAGCATTAGACCATTATCATCACTGCCCTGCCGTTTAGCATCGTTGATGTAATCATCTTTGTATCACGATCGAGAGAGGCGTTGATATTCTCATACGGTCGAGGTTCCCACCATTCCTCACTCCCGCCAAGCAAACCCGTTACCCCAGCAACCCCACACCCTCCCTCCATCCCACTTCCTCGCAACCCAACCACCAAGGTAAGGTCCCACGCAACAACGCGTGCCACAAACCGACGACCAACGACGACAGATACGATGGATACCCAGCGACCGCCGAAGAAACCGGCGAGGGTATATGGGAAGAAGAAGCAAGTCTCCAGGAGCGCGGATATTTTTTTGCAGGATTTGTCGCCGGCGGCAAGAAAGGTGGGGGAGGTGGGGGAGGGGGAGGTAGAGAAGATGGCGGAGGTGGTGGATCAGAAACTTGAGGAGGAGGGGAAGGGGAAGGATAGCAAAGATGATACAGGGAACGAGAAGCCCGTGTCGGAGATCCAGGAGGGGGCTTCGCCAAAGAACAGCGGTGATAGCAGCGCGAAACCTACACTAGAGACAACGACGACTACGAGCGCGAAACCGAAAACGCCGAAGAGCTCACGGAAGAAAAAGGAGGCAAAAGAACAAAAGACAGAGGATAATGGAGAAAGCCAGCCAAGCGCTGCCGGGAACAATGAACCTAAACCACATCCCCAACCACCAACAAAAGCGAAAGCCCACTCCGACCCAGAGGCGCTGGCAGATCTAACACACACCCTCAACGCCCTCCAACTTACCCCCGCCTCTTCCCCCCCTCAACCCGCACCCCCCAAACACCGTCCCCGCCGTCCCCGCCCCTCCGCCGCCCCCTCAACCACCTCAAAACCCCCCACCACTACCACCACCACCACCACCACACACCCACCCCCCTGGCTCGCCCCCCTCCCCCCTCCCCTCCCCTGGTCCCACCTCCTCTCCCCCCACTGGCCCCTCACCAAACTCACCGAATCCTCCTACGCCGAGATCTACACCCTCCACAACCCCTCCGGCTCCTCCATCCTCAAGATACTCGCTCTGCGTCCTCCGCGCGGGCCGGGGAGTAGGAGGGAGACGGCGTGTAAAGTCGAGGATGTGCTGAGCGAAGTCGCGATATTGGATCTCGTCACTGATGTGTCAGGATTCGTCGTCTTTCGCGGTGTATTCGTAGCCCGCGGCGGTGTGCCGGCGGGTGTGGTTAGGGCATGGGAGGGGTGGAATGATAACCCCCCCGGAGCCAACGCCACTGCCGAGGAAAGCGAATCCTGGGACGAAGGATACGGACGAAGCGCCTTCCCGCACCCGTCGAGGTATCATAAGGACCAACTCTTCCTGGTCCTGGAACTGGGGGATGCGGGGAAGGATTTGGAACACTACAACCTGACGACAAGGGAGGAGCTGTGGGATGTGTTTCTGGGAACGGTGGCGGCGCTAGCGACGGGGGAGGAGCTGTTTGGGTTCGAGCATAGGGATTTGCATGAGGGGAATATATGTCTTCGTCGTGCTGGGGTGGTGGGGAGGATTCCTACGGCGGCTTCAAACTCAGCAATATCCGAATCGGCATCTGAGCTCAGGAGCGGATTCTCAGGACTGGAAATCACATTACTGGATTACACCCTCTCTCGCGCGATGACCGAGGAGGGAAAGACATTATTCCTCGACCTCGACGACCCCGAAAACGCAGCGCTCTTCGAAGGCTGCGAGCCAGGCACAAAAGAGCAGGAGCGGAAACAACGGCGTGTTTATTCTGCTATGCGTGAACATGTCGTCGCTGAAGAACTCCTTACTGGTGCCCAACAAACGGGGAACGGGACGGAGGGGAGATGGGCAAAACACCACCCCTACACGAATATCCTCTGGCTGGCTTATGTGCTGGAATACTGTATTTCGCATTTTGAGGGACCGAAGGGGGAGTTGAAGATGTTTGAGGGGGAGATTAGGGGTGTGAGAGCTAGACTGCGGAAGGGAAAGGAAGAGGGGGGGTGGAGGAGTACGGCGGAGGTTAGGGAGGAGGTTTGGGGACGGGGGTGGGTTGTGTTGGAAGAGAAGGTGGAGGAGGGGGAGTGAGAGGTTTATATGGTCCTCTGATAATCGGAAGAACCTATACAAGGGGGGGGGAGAGCCGCATCCACTGTATGCTGGGCGCAGTTGCACGCCCGGCTCAACGCATCTACAGCGCGGGTATGCCGCACAAACCCGCGACGTGCCGTGCGGACCGCGCGGATAATACCCACGACGGAATGAGAAAGCCCCGATGAGCGCGGAGACGGATGCGGTATGCTGCTTTGGATGCAGGTAGGGGAGAGAGAGGGAGCGGCTTGAAGGGATTCCAGAGAGTAGGAGGAGAGTACCAGGGGGAAGCTCGAGAGGCGCAGCGACGCCGTGGCCAGGGAGAAGGGCGAGCATGATAGAAAGGAGGGATGCAGAGGTGCATGGAGTTTGGGAAATAGCATACACAGCGGAAGAGATAGATACCACACCATGTATACACAGCAATTGCCATCATCATTCATTCACTCATTGGAATCACAATCATAAAAGTCACAATCACAACCTAATTAACATCAAAAAAAGGTTATTTCAATTCAAGAGCCACCCTACGTCCGGACAGGTATCCACTTTAGTAGTTGTTGTTACCCCCGCTGCTCTTTCCCAACAAATCAGTCGCCTTATCAACAAGCTTATCCACCATCGACGAGCCAGAGTTGTTGTTTGCCGAGCCGTAGCTGTCGTTGTTGTTGCTGGATCCGTAAGAATCGTTGTTGTTGCCCGAGGAGCTCTTGTTAGACGAGCCGTAGGAATCGTTGTCGTTGGAGTTCTTGTTGGAGGAGCCGTAGCTGTCGGAGGTGCTCTTGTTGGAGGAGCCGTAGGAGTCGTTGTCGTTGGAGTTCTTGTTGGAGGAGCCGTAGGAGTCGGTGTTTCCCGAGGAGCCGTAGCTATCGGAGGAGTTCTTGTTGGAGGAGCCGTAGCTATCGGTGTTTCCCGAGGAGCCGTAGCTGTCGGAGGAGCTCTTGTTAGAGGAGCCGTAGGAGTCGTTGTCGTTGGAGTTCTTGTTGGAGGAGCCGTAGCTGTCGGAGGAGTTCTTGTTAGAGGAGCCGTAGGAGTCGGTGTTACCCGAGGAGCTCTTGTTAGTGGAGCCGTAGGAGTCGTTGTCGTTGGAGTTCTTGTTGGAGGAGCCGTAGCTGTCGGTGTTGCCGGAGGAGGACTTGTTGGAGGAGCCGTAAGAGTCGGTGTTGCCGGAGGAGTTCTTGTTGGAGGAGCCGTAGGAGTCGGTGTTGCCGGAGGAGGACTTGTTGGAGGAGCCGTAAGAGTCGGTGTTGCCGGAGGAGTTCTTGTTGGAAGAGCCGTAGGAGTCGGTGTTGCCGGAGGAGGACTTGTTGGAGGAGCCGTAGGAGTCGGTGTTGCCGGAGGAGGACTTGTTGGAGGAGCCGTAGGAGTCGGTGTTGCCGGAGGAGGACTTGTTGGAGGAGCCGTAGCTGTCGTTGTCGTTGGAGGACTTGTTGGAGGAGCCGTAGCTGTCGTTGTTGTCGCTGCGGCTGTTTCCGGACGAGCCGTAGCTGTCGGTGTTGCCGGAGGACTTGTTAGAGGATCCGTACGAGTCGTTGTCGTTAGAGCTCTTGTTGGAAGATCCGTAGCTGGCGTTGTCGTTGCTGCGGGTATTGGACGAGCCGTAGCTGTCAGTGTTGGAGCTGTTGTTGTTGGAAGACTGGAGAAGAGGTTAGTGGGGGATAAGGAGGGTGGGGGGAGGAGGGACTTACGCCGTACGAGTCTCCGCCACGGGTGTTGGAGGACTGGGTAGGATGTTAGTTTGGTTTGGGGGTGGTGCAGCTGCTGATGGGAGCAGCAGTGGATGGGGGTTGAGGAGGCTTACGCCGTAGCTCTGGGAAGGAGTGTTAAGTCGACAGGACTAATGAGAAGAAGAGGGGGTGAGGTTGGTGAGAAGACTTACGTCGTTGTTGTTGTTACCGTATCCAGACATGATGAAGGATGTTTATATGAATCGGGGGGAGTGGTTGAAGATTGAAGATTGAAGATTGAAGATTGGTAGATGGCGATTGTAGAATTGAGAAAGTATCGAGGAACCAAAAGGAAGGGGACTCGAGACGGGGGAAGGCGAAGGCTTGCTTATACTTATACCTCTCCCCCCCCCCTCCTCCCACCTACGTCCGACCTGCCTCTCACCTTCCTCTCACCTCCCCCCTCCAGACCCCCAAGATCACTGAGTACAGTACTACCCATCTGGAAGCGGGACAAGCTGAGATGACGAGTCCCCTCCCGCCAAGCTACCCAAAACGTGGTTGCGTCATGACCCCTCCCCGACGATCTCGTTGTGCCCTTGAGGGGTTCACCATAAGAGGAGGGGTAAACTTCGTCCCCCCCCCCCCCCCGTCCTCCCACCCCCTCGGCCTCGCCGCCACCATTGGCCAGCTAGCTGCGGATGATAGGAGCCAAAACAAGGCTTGTTGTCTCACTCGCGCCCATGGAACCGACCGTGGGTTGTGGCAGGGAGGGAGGAGCGGATCGTGAAGATGCGAGTGGGTGGGTAGCTTCAAGCTTGCATGGCGTGCGTCTGGAGTGCCTTGGATCTTGGTTTTGGTTTCTGGTCTTTTTCTCTCCGTTGCGCAATGAGGGAGTGAGGTGGGGTATCGCTGGAGTGGTCTAGCTCGTGGTACTATGGGGCTCAGGTGGTCAGTAGTGTAGAGCATGATGCGCGACAGGATAGGAGGGGGATGGAGAGGAGGTCCCGACATGCGTCGACGTATCGTACATCATCAGCCATACAAGGGTACAGCGGCAGGACAATGTGGGACGAGGTTGCGTTGGTTGGTGCTGACGTGTTGTCGTCGATGTCCGGGTCCCCTACCTTGTGATGTTCTCTGTTCTCTCACCGTGTCGGCGTTTCCACATGGCCAGTGAGAAGCTTCTTATGGTTGTGTAGTTTCGGCATGTGGGGTAGGGGGGAGATAGGCTGAGACCGAGACCTGGTGGAAGGGAGGAAGGGAAGGTATGGAGTTGGGGAGTAGAGTAGAAGGAGGGCGATATGGCGATGGCGCATCTCCATCTCCATCTATCTGTATACACTTGGGAGTAGAGAGACCAAGTGCACCATGCATGCAGATGTGGTATTATGATGTGTGTATAGCTGGCACTATCCATTTCCGCCGCGGTTTCGCGTGGTCACTCTATGTAGTAATCCTTTCCTCCTGTCCCGGTCCCGCTCTAATCGCCGTCCGATCCCAAACGCCGCTGTGTTGCTTCCCATCTGTCCATCTGCTCCATGTCTCTTGAGCCTCATTTCGTCCTGCGACGACTGCTATTCGTATCAAACTCCTCGGTTCCCTTGAGCCTCAATTATACCACGCCTCTCATGCTCGACTTGGTGTCCTATCCGAGACCCAGCATTCATCCCCATCCCAATTCCACCCCCAAGTCCCATACCACGCTCACCTCACATACTTGCTCATAAACCTCTTGTGGAAATCCGATCTCAGCAAGTCCTATCCAAATATTAGCATCTCATCCCCACCCCCATCCCCCCCTCACCCCCCCAGAAAAACTCACATTAACAAACTCCTTCTTATCCTTCCCCTCCGTCCCCCTCGCCTGATTCCTAAAAATCACATCATCATCCCACCTCCTCTTAACCCCAAAATCCTGTTTCGCCCCCCCTCCCATCAACGGATTCCCCCCCGCCATATCCCTTTCCCTCGCCTCCTCCTCCGCCGCCGCCTTCTCCCTCTCCTCCGCCTCCCTCCTCTCCGCCCTCTCCCTCTTGATCTTCTCCAGCTCCCGCTGCAGCTCCGCCGTCTCGTCTTCACTCTCGTCCTCGCTCTCGCTCTCGCTTTCAGAAGCTGAATCGGCGTCGATGTCCCGCGTCTCTTCTAGGATCTTCCGCCGCTTCGCTTCTTTCGCCTCGTTGTCGTCTTCTACCCCCTCCATCGCGCCGCTTTCGAGTAATCCCCGCTTCCCTGCTTCGAGAGCGGCATCGTTAACAGAGTCTTGGTCGGGGGCGCCACCGCGCGTCTTGGCGAAGTGAGCGGCTTCGGCGGCGAGGAGTTCGGCGCGCAGGTCGCGCGATTGGGAGTCGGCGGAGCCGCCTTGGCCGGGTTTACTGTGGTGAGGGAGTTAGCGGGCGTGCGCTTGTGTTGGGATTGAGGCGCGGGGGAGGGGGCACATACCGGACTTTCAGCTGGGTGTGCGCTGGGAGGAGGCGCTGGTGGTATGCTGGGCCGCGCTGGGCTTCTTTGCCTACAGCCTGGGGGGTGTTAGTCTGGGGGTCTGGGGATGGGAAGATCGAGGGGTGGACGAACGGGGTCGAAGGTTGGTCTGTGAGCTGGGGTTTTATTAGCGACGTGTATTTTAAAGCAGGCGATGGCTACATACCAGTCGTCATCTTGCGTTGTGGTGAAAAGCAAAGTGAAGTCGTAAAGATGTCGAGGTGATGGAATTCTCCAGGGCCCAGGCGATATCAACACCCATAACTCGATGCTACACGATCGCGCTAAACCCACCCCAGCACAAACCACAACACCGCCCCCGGCAATATTATTTCACTATCAATCAACCCCACCTCCTCCCAACCCAGCCAGCCCTTCCTTACAGCTCCCACCAACAAAATACAAAGACACGTCGTAGCCGGTCCCCGCAAAACCGACCTACATAATGCCGCGCGAACCAGAACCCTCGCTCAACGAGCGCCAATTCATCCTCCAAGCCCTAGAAGACAATCTCCGCCTCGACGGCCGCGGCTTCGACGATGCGCGCGATGTCGAAATCACCTTTGGTGACGCCTACGGCAGCGTCGATGTGCAGATGGGAAAGACTCGGTACTTTCCCCCATTTCCCCCCTCTCTCTCCTTCCGTTCACCCAAAGGCCCCCCGGCTAACCCCCACCAGCGTCCTAGCAACAATATCCTGTTCCCTCTCCCCCCCTTCTCCCCCCCGCCCCTTCGACGGCATCTTCACCCTCACCACCGAGTTCTCTCCCATGGCCACCCCAACCGTGGACCCCTCGCGCCCCTCCCCGCCCGAGACACTGCTCGCGCGTCTCCTCGATAAAACGCTCCGTCGCTCCGCCGCGCTCGACACCGAGTCCCTCTGCCTCCTCGCTGGGAAAAGCGTCTGGGCCATCTGCTGCGACCTCCACATTCTCTCCCACGGCGGCGGCCTGCTAGACGCCTGCTGCGTCGCTGCGCTGGCGGGGTTACTCCATTTCCGCCGCCCGGAAGTGAGTGTCGAAGGCGAGAAAGTCACAATCTACAGCGCCGAAGAGCGCGCGCCCGTGCCCTTAAGTCTTCTCCACCTCCCCTTCTGCGTCACCTTCTCGATATTCGGAATCCGCTCGGGCGAAGAGGAGGCAGTGCTTCTGGATGCGGATAGGGCGGAGGAAGGGGTGAGGGAGGGCGCGGTGACGGTGGGTGTTAATAGACATGGGGAGGTGTGTCAGATTGCGAAGTTGGGGGGGAGGGAGGTGGATGCGTTGGAGTTGTTGAGGTGTGTGGGGGTTGCGGAGGGAAGGGCGAAGGTGTTGGATGGGATTGTGAGGAGGAGGGTGGGGGAGGAGGAGAGGAGGAGGGATGGGGGGAGGGGGAAGGTGTTGAGTGCTGAGAATGAGAGGTGAGCTGCTTGCTTGAGGGGTTGGGTTGTTTGGGAATTGGGAAAGTGGAAATATCATGGCGCTTTTGTAAGAGTGAAGGGAGGGGGTGATGGGGTTGGTCTACCCGTGTTGAAAGTGTGTTCTTCAATGACCCTAGAGCGGAGTGTGGGAACATGGAGCAGTGCAAGAGAGCCTACTTGGGGCTGCACAGCTTCGTTCGCGTCATGGGCGAAATTGGTGCGCTCTACACAACAGGCCAATTTCGGGGCAGGAAGCCTCCGTATGCCCTACAAAATGAATGTAGAGTTTATCACATATAGAGTAATTAAGACTATAAAACTTTATGAAATAAAATTAAGTATCCCAACCTCAATAGTGAAACACCAAAACTAAAGACAACAAACTTACCAGTATCACCATAGACACGTAACAATAGTCTCACATCACTCACCACCCATCAGTCGAACACATCATCACTAGACACAAGATTCAAAATTCAAAATTCAAATCCATAATCCCACTATCCCCCCAAATCCAGCTACCTAACCCAGCAAGCTCCCACCCAAGCAACCCCCTCAGCCCCCTTCCAACCCTCATACCATCATCTCATATACAACAACACTACCTAGCCAACCGCACAAGCCTCAAACACCCCCCCGTTTCCAGTGGAGAAAGTGACAAAGATAGAAAAACAACTGCAAAGGGTATCCGCCCACCATCCCCCTTCAAATCCTTAAGCTTTTCTCTCAAGAAAACCGGGGGAAAACTAAGCCAGCTAAAAAATGTGATATTGCAGATATAGAACCTCCGCCGCCCTCCCCCCTTCTTTCCCCCTTCACATTTTGGAAAAAAAACAAAGATTATAAGAAAAATGAGGAAGACAAAAACTCCTCACTCGCTCTCCTCAACATCAAACACATCACCCCCAACTTTCTTCCCCCTTGCACGCGCGCTCCTCGCTCGCACCGGCGCAGCAGCGGCGGCTTTGATATTCTCCTTCCCCTTCGGCTTCACCTTCACAGCAGCAGCGGCCTTGCGTCCCCGTCCATTCGTCGGCTTCTCCTTCGGCTCAGGCGTAGCTTCCTCTTCCGGCTCTTGCTTTGCCAGTTCCGGAACCTTCGTCCGTATCGCCGGCGCAGGCGTCTCTTCAGGCTCCTCGACAGCGTCGTCTGACATCTCCACATCCTCCTCCGCAGCCTCGGAAGCCTCAGCGTCTGACTCGTCATCAGATTCAGCAGCATCAGACTCGACGTGACCGTCCGCGTACTCCCACTTGCTGACCCCCCCCATCATCTCCTCATCATCCTCACTATCATCCCTATCCGCATAACTCTTCGCCGCCACCACGCCCCTCCCGCTCCTCCTTCTCTCCGCCGTCGACTTTAGCTTCTCCTCTCTAACCTTCTTCACATTCTTCGGCGTCTTCGGCTTGACTGTCTTCTTCACCGCCGCCGTCTTCACCCTCGGCGCCGCAGCAGCAGTCGAAACCCTCTGCCTCTTCCCTGCCGGCTCCCCCCCCTCCCCCGCGGCCCTCTTCCCCCTCTTCTCCCCCCTCCTCACCACCTCCTCCACCCCCTCCTCCACCCCCTCCGGCAAAAACACCCTCTCCGCCGTCTCCTGCGCCGCCTTATGATCCGGCATTTTCGCGAACAGCTCCCTCGCCATCCCCAACCGCCCTGCATACGCCTGCATCGCCCATCCGCGCCTCGCCTCCCACTTGCGCAGGACAGCCATCGCCAGCTCGGCGAGAACGTATATGTTTTCGCTAGAGGGGTCGAGGGCGTCGCGCGCTTGCTTCACGCGCTCGGCGTATTTGTAGAGCAGGCCTAGGTTGTCTTCCGTGGCGACGCTGGTGATGAAGAAGAGGAGATATTGCGCTGTGTCTAGTAGATCTGCGGGTTCCGGGCTATAATCCGGATGATGCGCAAGCAGCGACAGCAAGCGCGGGAGAGTCGCCTCCAGTGCCCCGCCACCGCCGCCAACTGGGCCCTGTAGGGCGCGAGCGCGCGATTTGAGCCATGTTGCTGCGCTGGCGCGGAAATGGGCTTCGGGCTCGAAAGCGAGGAGGAAGGGGATGACGTAGAAGCGTGTTGGAAGGCGGTTGAGGACGAGGTATTTCTGAAGTTTATCGATGAAGCTACGGCGAACGGGGAATAAGGCGTCCTGCGCGACGGTTGCGAGGCGCAGGAAGGATTTCGGGGAGAGCTGCGCGTCGAATGCTTTGGTGGTGCTGAGTTTGAGGAGGAGGTGCGCGGCGAGGAGGCGGAGACGCGATTTATGGTGTTTTGGCGTCGAAGCGGTTTTGGACAGTTCGCCTTCGTTGCTTAGGATGGTCAGGAGTAGTTTGTAGACTGGTGGCGCGAGCTCAGCTGCTGAGGCGGGGTCGGTGACGACGCGGAGGCGGTTGACGAGGGCTTTTAGCGACCAGGTTTTTGCTTCGCATTCAGAGTCTACGGCGGCGTCGTCGACCCAGCTGCGGTCGGTGGAGGAGGGGGTGGTGCGGTATTGGAGGAGGACTTGCTGGCTTGTGATTCCGAGGATGGGGTCGTGGAATTCGTCCATTACGGTGGGGGCGAGGAGGTTGAGCTGGCTGATGCAGGCGAGTTTGGTGAGGTAGTGGTCTTCGCCGTATGTCCAGTCTTTTGTAGCCCATGTCAGCAGGTCGCGTGCGTGCACTTCTTTGCGTGCGGTAGTCGAGATTAAGATCGTGACGGCGTGCTTTGCGGCCTTGGCTGGGCTGCCAAACTTCGCGAAGGCGACGAGAGCCTGCACGAATGGCTTGTCCTTGGGGATATCATCCGGGAATTTCTTCGCGAATGCCGCGCACGACTTGAGCGTCTTGACTGAGCCGACGTCGTTCGCCTTCGTAGCTGTCGGGGCCGCTTCAATAAGCAGCTTGCAGAGATCCTTGACCTGAGCCTTGAAGATGTCCGGGTTACGCTCCGAAATTTCATTAAGCAATTCATGCGCCGTAGCCCCAAGCCCCTTCGCATCATTGCGCGAGAACTCAAGGATAGCCGGCAAATTGCTCTGATTATACACAATTGACCCAGCACGGTAGATGAGCGGGATCATCGTCTCCAGCAACCCCGCCGGCGCCCCCGGCGCCGCCTCAATACGCTTCGCAAACTCCTTAACCGCCTTATGCACAGTCTTAAAGTCCTCAATCGGATCCATAGTGCAGCGAATCAGGTGGTACGCACGACGATCATGCATCTTAGCGAACTTCCACAAGTCGGCGCTGGCGCGCAGCGAGTCCGGCAACAGTGCCACGAGCCACTGTATCACAGCCGTGAGCTTCTGTTTGATCTCCTTCTCGTTGCCGTCCATCACGCCGCCGTTGTACTCCTCGCACTTGGTCAGGAAGGTCGTGATCACGTTGCGGAAGGTCTTCTGACGCGCTTGGAGCGCGAAAAAGGCTTTTTTAGCTTTGGGGTCGAGGGAGCGGACGAGGATGAGGAGGCGCTGTACGCGCGCGGTGTTGGGGTCGAAGGAGTCATCTGTAGCTTGCTGCGATTCCCCATTCGCGTTCTTAATCCCCTTCGATTTGAGCGGGGGGTATGACAGCGGTAGGAGATGCTCGAACATAACGTGATCGAGTAGCACATTCACATCTTGATCATTAGCGTAGTAAGCGTAGAATATGCGCGACGGGATCGCTCCCAGAAGCGCTGTCACGGTCTCGTTCCCAGCCGCGATCTCCCCAGCTGCCACGCCCCAGATCTTGCTGATGGTGGTCATGCCTTCCACGCGCACAGCATGTTTCCGATCACGCGAGCGATCCGCTAAGCTGCACAGGACTGATCCTGTTTTGTTCACGTCGCCGCTGCTCGCAAGTTTGGTCGCGATGTCGTGGAAGCCGAATCCGCCAACTGCCTTTACAGCCGCGATCCGAACTCTTTCATCCGCGTCGTTGAGTTTCTCTGCCAGTCCAGCTACAAGGGTAGCTTCGTCCTCGCGGCTCAATCCGATACCTCCAGCTGAGGTGAGGATGATCCTTCCAATCGCTGTAGTCCACGCTGACCTAATCAGTGGAGACTTATCGTTCTTGCGACCGAGGAAGCTGTTGTAAACAGCCGGATAGGCTTGTGCAAACGACTGTGGTGACATTGGCGTTGTGAGAATATTCGTTGGCGCGGTCGGCTGTGCGTACTCCTCGAGCATCACAGGCGGATATGCAGCCGGGTCCATTGGAGGCGCCGGAGGTGGTCCCGCAGCTCCAATGCCAGATATAATATCCCCTAGGGTCTCGGTAGCGAGCAGTCGCAGCTGTACATTTTCTGCTGACAGCTCCGCCTCGAGTTGCGGGATGACATTCTGCAAGACCTGCGACGACGCACGCCATAGCTCTCGGAGGAGCCTGTGTGCCTTCTCCAGTTCGCGCAGATCTACAACTGTTGGGCCGGCATTCTCGTCTTCGTCATCAGAATCATTATTGATGCTAGATCTCCTGTGGTCGCCAGGTTTCGAGATGGATCCGGAAGACGAGGCGTCGACAATCACGTCGTTGAAGTACTGGCTGATATACCTCGACATCTTCTCCGGGCACGAATTGCACAAGAACTCCGCCATCTTGTACGCAGCCGGCAACTCTTTCATCTCCAAAATCGACTGCTTATCATCCTTCGAATCGCCATTATGCTTCGCCTTCCCCGTCGCCGCAGCCCTCAAGAACTGCGCAACAATAATATCAATAACCTCCGTCGGCAGCGTCGGCGCCTCATCTACAAGCGTCACCAGGATCTCGTTCATATGAAACTCGGCATTCTTGCTCAACTGCTCCCCCGTCGAAGCCTTCGCCGAGCCCGACACGATGTCGAAGAAGATGGTAAAGAGATGCAACAGCAGCGCCTCCGAATTATTCACATCCGTAATGAGGACGACGCTCTTGACCTCCGCCAGCGACGTCAGCACGTACATATGCTGCGTATTATACGCATTCGACGGGTCCGACAGCGCAGGCAGAATCGACGTCACGAACAGCGTGAAAATATCCTAATCCCCGCCATGTTAGCTACATCGGTCATCACATCCCCATCCTCATCCCCAATCCAACAGGCACGGGAAAAACCTACCTTCAACTGCGACGGCGTAAATGGCGCATCCGGCGCACAAATCTTCAGTACATCCACCAGACAAGCTGCGGCGAATGCGCGAACCCCGCGGTCCTTATGGCCCAACAGATTGGGACTACACAGCTCCTTAGCAACCTTGCCGAGCGACGCCTTGTCCGTCTCTTCCTGGTCGAGCTCTGCGAGCTCCGCAGCCAGCGCGCCGAGTCGGCGCAGTAGCTCCGCGGTGGGAATAGCCTTTCCTGCGCGCCATGAGAGGGGTTCGTCGAAAGTGAGAGCAGGGAGTGAGGGTTCGACGGGAGGGGCGGCGGAGGGAGGAGCCCGTCGAGGCGCCATGGCGACGGAGGTTGCGCGCTGTGAGGTTTGTCGGGGGTGAGAGGTGATGGTTGCTGGTGGGTGATTGAGTGTCGCGAGAGGTGATGGGTATGGCGTTCAGATGCGCATTGGCAGTGGTGGAGGATATGGGAGATTCGAGAGGTGTTCGGTGGCCTTAGTGGGTGGTGGTTTGAGGGGTTTCACACGCGACGAGGACGCGATTGGGGGTTGGGCGGAATGGACAGGCGCGTGAAGGGAGCAGGGCGCGCTAAAGTGGTGTGGAAAGGTAATTTCGACATCAGCTCGCGAGAAGCGTCATGAATTCATCGACGACGCGGGGAAATGTAGGTTGTAGGGGATTGAGAACGCCGACTTGAAGTAGATATTTAATGTTGATAATTATACTAAATATCTATTGATTGGTTTTTCTATGTTGGTATTTCATAATTATTGTTCGTTTCCATGTGTGTTGTTACAGTCATTGACTGCCCACCTGTACTGTAGTGTTATCCATATTGTTTTATTATATCCTTGGGATTTCTATTCAGATACAAGAGTCTGATTTACATTGTTTGTTTACATCTCTTTGGTGATTGTGAAGTTGCATTTCCTCGGGCCATCACTTGCTGTTGTTGATATATATGGACAGACAGGACCTGGTGTCGGTATTTGATAATTATTATTCTACAGCTTCGTTATATCTCCTTTACTGTCCATGCTGGCCTATCCTTGCTGTCCTTGCTGTCCTTGTCCTTATTGTCCTCACTGTCCTCACTGTCCTTATTGCCCTCACTGTCCTCACGTCCTCACTATCCTCACTGTCCTCACTGTCCTCACTGTCCTCACTGTCCTCACTGTCCTTGCTCTCCTCTCCTCTGATTATATTCGTGCCTCCATCTACAAGTATATATTATAGTCTACTGCACGACGGAGAGATGCGAACTGGCGTGGGATTTATGTTGATTCCCCCCAAAGTATCATCTCCTCTTCCACCAGGATGCTCCAAGAGTAAACCACCCCCTTTCACCCCAATCCACTCGAACCAGACGCGTCCAAGTAGCGAGAGCCCCAGCCCTATAAATTGTTTACATTCTACCCCAAAACAAACTTCCTCCTTTCACCTTTCCACACGCACCATCAAATTTCAAAACTCACGTTCCCCTTCACTTGTGTTTATACACTCTTACACTCTTTCAATCCTACACCAACTCTTTTCAAACTTCCAAAGAACAAACCTACCCCTTTTAATTCCTTTCATACTTCTCTTGTTGATTGATCTGTACGGACCTTTCAACTTCAACCTTCAGTCTCCGTTACCAACACACTGTCAATCTTGCACAACAACTCAATCCAATTCAATCAATCAAGGTAACTGCTGTAAGTAAATGATGTTTATTATCACTATCATTGTTATTATTTCAAACCACAATCTCAGTCTCAATCACTGATGGTTTAGATTGCAGTTTGTGATGATAGCTTTCAACCCCCCCCCCCCCCAATTTCTCCCTGAATGAATGAATGGAAACAAACATAAACTAACTCAGCCAGCATCAAGCCAACATGAAGGTCAACATTCGCTCCACGGTGGCTCTCACCCTTGCTGCCCTGGCTTTTGGTGCGGCCACCGCCACCGCCCACAACACCCTCGATAATGAGTATCAAGTCAGCGAGGTTGACACCGAGACTGTCGATTGCACCGACACTTCTTCTCTCCCAGAGTTGTATGTTCCAGCCCCTTCCAATCTCTATCCCATCTAACCTCTGCTTAGCTCGGTCCAGACCTTTTACTCCACCCATGTCCACCAGTCAGTCAAGTACACCTTGCCCAGCGGGGGGTATACCTTGGCCCTCCCAACGGAGGTCATTGGGGACCTGACTAGTCTTCTCCATGTCTACTCCCCCACCAAGGGACAGCAGATTGCTTCTGCCACCACCTCTACTTCTGTTGAGCAGCCAACTGTATCATCTGCCGCCTCTACGGCCTCTACTTCCACTAGAGAAGAGCCAATCGTCTCCACTGTCCCATCGTTCACCAGCACCAAAGTGCAGTCTACCTTTGTTTCGGTTCCTGTTGCCAGCGAGCCTGTTCCTGCTGTTGTTCCCTCCAGGTAAGACTTTTATCCGATCTATCTTTTAAAACAATCTTTGGAAACCAACCTTGAGAAACCCGTTTCGTGTTCTCCAATCTGGTTCTCCGATCTTTGACCGACCTTGGAAAATCAATCTTTGGAAAACATCATTGAGAAACAAGCTAACAGCATATAGCAGCGCTGAAGCTCACTCTGAGGCTTCTACCGAACCCGCCCCGGCAACGTAAGATCACAAAGTTTACTAACAACTGATTCCAACACCTTCTAACATCATTACAGTACCGAACAACCTTCCTCCACAAAGGAAATTGTTCCCCCAGTCGTCAGCACGGAGACTCCGTTGACCAACCCTCTCCGCCCTTCCGTCACGTACGTACCTATTTCTCGAGTCCAATTATTTCCTTTGCCATCATATCTGACACTCCCCCAGCCCCAGCGATACCCCCACCACTGCCTCAATTACTCTAACCACCACTGAGACCCTGCCGGGCGCTCCAATCCCTCCAGTGAAGGAAGGCGTGTCCCAACTTTCTTCAGAGGCATCTGAGGCGATCATCCAAAACCCTCACAAGACGCACGGCGGTCCCCCTATTGTCTCGGTTGCTTCCTCGATCTTGAGCATGACCACCGAGACACTGACCAACTCCCACACAACCGTGGTGACTGTCATCGAGAGCTCAACCCAAATTCCTTTTGCAGTTGACTGCTTCTCTACCACCTACGTTACTGTTTACTCTTCCCCCAGCTCCCCTGCATCAGTAGCCACTGCGTTAGTCCCCTCTACCATTCCTATTTTACTACCCCCCGCCCTCCATATCCCACTTTCAAGCCCCAACAGAAAAAACCAAGCTAACAACCTCCAGTCATCCCAGCTACACCGCAATTGCCCAACCCTCCACCATCGTCGTCGCCACCGGTGTCCCCCACCCAAGCAACAACACCACCACCGTCGCGACCGGTGTCCCACGCCCAAACAACACCACCACCACCGGAAAACGCCTCCCCCCCATCCACGGCGCCGCGCCAACCCTTTCCGCAACCCCAGGCATTCTCCTCGCCTTCTGTGGTCTGATCTGCTACCTGATCTAATCGCCGACCGGGTCGCCTTCTGCACTCGCTCTATTGCGGACAACAGGCGTGTATTTATAGAACATACAGAAGAATTATAGTTACCACATTAGCTGGTTTTGCTGTTTCCGTTCTGTCCTTCAATCAAGGCTGCTCGTAATGTCGGATCTCTGCGGCGGCGCTTGAGATTGGGAGGTTCAGATGGGAAAGTGTTTATTGAAAAGAAGGAGATGGGTGGCTAGGTGCAGCTGGATCGTTTTGCACAGGTCGGTGCAGGCTGGTGTTTGGTCTGGACGGACGGTGTTCATAGGCTGTAGTTAGGCTGGGAATACAAACTTGTCTCTTTTATTTGTGGTGTACGTGAGTGTGTGCATGTAATATGTTTAATACCTGCTGTAGTTTGTTCGTCACATCAAAAAACCGATCTGAATAATAAAATTTCTTTTACGGTAACGTAATGTAATGTATGGGGAGATCGGGTGTACGGTTACGCTCGCGCTACATCCTACTGAGCCAAAAAGTCTAACTTGCAGTATTCCAGCTCGGTGGAATACGCGCAACACGCTATATATACAACGCAGTATAGTTATATACTCCTGCTTCCTAGCTATGACCTTCTAATTAGACTTCAAGGTAGAATCAACAATTATACGCGTAGATTAAGTCTCTCTAACTACAAAACCTGTCTCGTCCATACTATAGATGTTGGTACATGGCTTATACTTTCGCTCCTTAATTTGTGCTTTAAACGCGTTAAACCAAGCTAAGATCTTTTCTTTATAGGAGTAGCTTCTTTATATCGTGTAGACTCTAGTTGTCTTAAATAGACTCCTTTAAAGTTTAGATGTCGTTTTAAGAATCTATAGATCCATTCATGGCCTATAGGGGTAGGATTAGTCCAAAGGATCGTTTAAGAAGACGCGATTTGGACGCGTCGTACGCGAACTTCTTTAGCCATTTCCTTAATTAACATAAGAGTTGCAGGAAAACCCGTCGTAGTAAGACGTGTAATCCATCGTGCTAGTGTATTTTCTTCTGCATTTGAAAGAACTTGTTCAATTTCGTGAACTATAGCACGCGTTTTCTTCCTGGACATCCTATCAGCAAGAGTTGACTTGAGAACTTCAAAGTAGTCTGCAGCAAGTCTAATTGATTTGAATTCCTTCAATTGGAGCGTAAATGATAGCCTTTTGGATGTTGTCTTCAATTTGAGCACGACTGTATGGTTGTCGGATGTTCATGGTGGATGGTATGAAGGTTCTAAGTTGGTGGTGGGGCATTTTTGTCCGACTACCCCCATATGTCCGACTTCCCAATACACTACGTTAGCTACTTTTAGATGAAGGTTACGCATATAAATACAGCCCCGCCACCCCCCAAAATACGCAGAAGATAGAAGCTCTCTACGACCTGCGTCCTTGTCTTTTTAAACCGGAAACCACAGCTGGAAAAACGCCCAAACCAGAGCCCGCAACGCCATCACCACACCAACATATCCCACCCCAAATCTATCAAGATGACCCCCCCACACCCCTCCCCCCTCCTCGCCCCCAAACAATCCATCATCACCACCTACGCACCCTTTCCCCCCATCCCCCTCCTCGCCTCCTCATCCCTCAGCCCCTGCCTCCTCTTCCACTCCCCCTTAATCCCCCCCGCCGCCGCAATCAGCTCCGCCTCCGTCACGCGATCCCTAATACTCTCAATCACGCTCTCCACCGTACTACTATGATTCGCCTTATCCTTATCATCCCTAAACCGCATGAACCTCCACCGCCCACTCTCATCCATCGAGCACTCCACCACGCGCTCATGCAGCGGCTCTCCACGGGCCTTCAGGTCCTCCCATTCCGACTCTTCGAGATGGAGCGTCCCGTACCACTTCTCCCCGCGGTCGCCGGTCCAGACGAAGAGATTGACTACTGGTAGGGCGTCATAATCCGTCCAGCTCCCTCCTCCCCCCTCGTCTTTGACAATGGCAAAATCGAGACGCATCATAAAATCAACACTATTCTCATTCTCCGGCTTCCACTTCAAGATCCCAGGGTCCGTCCCATACTGATACGCCGCCCCACGACACGTAAATATCAACCCATCATTCCCATGCGGCAACCCCGGCAGCACCGCACGGAACATCATCTCCAACCCATACGGGAACTGCATATCCTTCAACTGGACTTCAAACGGCATATGCGGTTTCTCCTCCGGGAACCTCCTCAGCAGCTCCTCGTACGGCGCAAACACCCCGTCCTTAAAATACGCTAGCCGCTTATCCAATGTCCGGCTTATCAACGGCTTGCGGTCGAGTGTCAAGCAGTCGAAGACGAGGTAGGTGGCGCGGAGGCCGGTGGGGAGGTTGTCGAGGACGAGTTCACCGTCGATCAGGGTGTTGGTGTGGAAGGAGGCGAAGGAGGGGTCGTCTTTGAGTGGGAAGTGGAGGTTGGGGATGTACCAGTAGTCGTTGCGGCGGTCGATGAGGAAGTGGGCTTCCGAGCCGGTGGAGGGGTCGGCGGTGCAGTAGAGGAGGTAGCGTTGGCCGTCAGATTTTTCGCAGACGTAGTAGCTGCGAAGTGTTTTGTTAGCTGTCTATCGCGTAAATTGGCTGGTGGGGATTGCGGGTTTGGGGGGAAGGGGGGGGGGGGTACGCACTCTTGCTTCATCAACTCCCCAATGTGCTTTCTTGAGAAGCTAACCGGTTGCGCGCCGGGAAACCCCTTCTGGCTCCTCCCCAGCAGCCGCGCGACCTCTTCGCGGAGCGGGCGCGCGTCTTCATCGCTCAGCTTCTCGCCTGGGGCTGAGATGTCGATGAGCTTCGCCTGCGCCATGGTTGCGCTTCCTTTGTCTCTCGCTCTGTGGCGTGGCGTTAACCCGGGGTGACGTTGGAAGGGGATTTCAGTGGGTGGCAGGTTTAATGGGTTGAAGGACTTGGTGGAGGGGGGTATATTATATATTATAGATGTGCGGGGGGGCGCATAGGTGAATTCGAGGGCGAGGCAGCGAGTCAATAGTGATATTGCCCGATCGGGAGGCGGTGGAAGTTGAAGTCGGGGGAAGTGTAATTCCGATCCGGGTTATATTGCTAATCGACCACCAGGTCACCACCTGCCTCTCTCTCTCACAAGACATCAACTCTCTTTCACCATCACCAAAAGTCTCCTTAGAGCCTTGCTTGCTACCGATCGAGTTTCCGTCCTCGTCAGACACCCAATCACCCACTTGTTCACATATATGTCTATCACTGATGTCTTCTACTCCGTCCGTTGAGATGTTTGTCCGGTTTACTGTAGGCTACAGCGAACCGGATGACATGGTGGGGGAGTTGAGGAGCAAGTCCGACAAGTGTAATTATCTCCACGGACGCGCTGGAAGAAATTAGAGGTCGTACAAGTCGGCTACTGAGTAGGTTGAGTAGCTGTTTATACCCTTCATTGGGTTGACCGACGAAGACGAGGCTGGGTGAGGGGTTTGGATAGCTGAGGGGAGATGGGTGGGATCGGTATGTCGCCCTGCAAGTGATCCGAGGAAGATACACTCTAACATAAGTCATGGTATCAAACCACTACAAGATGAGAATGCGAACACATCCACTGAGAACCAAGTTATTCACCACAGACCACCAGGCATCATGACCTGTGGCTGAGGAAGCAAGTGTAGTTTTAGCAAGAGAGCAGGTCAAGACACATATGGAGACTACACTCTGAGCAGTATCAAAATACTGAACCACCATATCAAGAAAACTCGTGAATGCCTTGGACTATAGTACAGTGACTAAATCCATTCCATGCCTATATGAAGTGGGTATCCCAGATCCCCTCCCCAACGCCCCCATTAAAATCCCCCCAAACACCCCATCCAGACCTCCCAGCAGCCCATCCAGAGTCACATCAAATCCAAGACTTCATTAACCCCCCCAGCCCCTACAACCACCTCACCTCCCGGCAACCACCTCCGGCCTCCTCCCCACCCCCATCCCACCCCCCCCCTCCTCCCCCCACCCACAAACCCCTCATCCCTCTCCCCCACCGCATCCTCCTCCCCCACCTCCGCCACCACCTCCCTCCTCGCCACCTTAAAAATATTCACCGTCCCCCCACTCGTCGCGTTATCCAGCTGCTCCCGCAGGCGCGCAAGCTGGTACTGGCGTTTAATCGGCATCAGCACCGGTTGCGGGAGGTAGGGCTGGGGATTCCATTTTGAGAGCGCGGACATGACGAGTGCGGTTTCTTCGTCGGAGTCGATGGGGCCGGCGTTGGCGTCTTCGTCTTCGACGGGGGCGTTGGCGTCGATGGCTGCTTCTGGGGGGGGGGGTTAGTAGACGATTGGGGGTGGGGCAGTGGGGGAAGGGGCAGCGGGGGACGTACTTTGCTGCTTGGCTTGGTTCTTCTTCTGGTAGGCTGCGAGGAGCATGTCGTACGGTAGTGAGCGGCCGGGGACCGCGCGCTTAGCGCCCATGGAGTGCGATTTGCACGTCAATGATCTAGCGCAAGGAACGCCATTAGGTGTGATGACACCGCACTGTCTCTCGACGTCCACGGGAACTGGAATTTGATTAGCTTGGGTAAGGCAGAACGATAGACCGGGCAATAACATACCTTTCGCCTTAACAATCTTCGCCTTCGGCTCATCCTTCTTCTTCTTCTGCTTAGGCATCTTCTCCGCATCCCCCTCCGCCTTCCTCTTCTTCCCCTGCTTCTTCTCCCCCCCCTCCTCACTCTTCTTCCCCGCCGTCTTCTTCGCGCTCTTCAGTCCCGCCGGCGTCTTCTTCACCACCTCCGACGACGCGCTCGGCTCTGGCTCGTCATCATCCTCTTCCCCCCCAGCATCCGCATTATTCCCCATCGCCGTATCCCCCTCCGCATCAACCTTCTCCTTCTTCTCCCCCCCCTTCTCCTTCTTCTCCTTCTTCTCCTTCCCCTTCTTCACCTTCTCCCCCCCCCCCTCTTCCGCAGCAGCACCCTCCTCCTCCTTCCTCCTCGCCGCCCTCTCCTTCGCCTCCTTCCGCTTCCGCGCAGCCTCTTTCTTGTCCGCGAGACACTTCTCAATATGCGCCTTCCGCGCGCTCTTCAACACGCTCTTCTTGCAGTGCTTACACAGGCTCGTCTCCGGACTATCCTCCAGCGGCCTCCCCGTCGCAAAGGTATCGCGCGTACTGTCATCAAGCTGATTCACCACTGGTCCCGGGGAGGCGCCCGAGTTGGTAGAGGGGGAGTCGGCGCCTTTCTTTTTATCATCTGCGCGCGTGCCCTACTGCGTTAGCTTATCTATCCTCCCACTTCACCTACTTCACAACTGGTCCACGGGGAAGGGGGGGAGGGGGGGCGAACCATCGACGACGCTCCCATCCCTCCAGTTCCCAGGCTTATTATGTTTCGGTGCCGGCCGCTTCAACTTAATCGTCCCATTCGGCCTGATCTCCTTCCTTGGCGTAACTTTCACCGTGCTCTCCTCATCTGAGCCCACTGGCGCGCTCGAATCTGCCACGCACACTAATCAGCGCTGTTCCTCTTATACCATATCACAGCGCTGCGCGCACCCCCTTTCAACAAGCCGCCGCTGGGGAGCACATGGGCACCTGGGAGGAATATACACACCTTTCTTCGCCTCCGCCATAACTTCCACCACTTCTAACAATTCCAATAATCCTATTCGCAAAATATGTATAACACCCCTCTTCGTGCTCACTTCACAAGCCCCCCTCGCCGTTGCGCGCTGCTCTGTGGATTGGTTGACGTCCTGATGTCGCGAGGCTGTGGCTCGCCTACCGCGGTGGTGTGGCTTTCGCTGTGGCGGCGCCTGGCTGGTGTGGCTGGTCGCGGTCGCAGTAAGGGACGATTTGCGGACGACGCGCAAGGTACGGTGGGGGGTGTGAGGGATGGATGGATAGTATAGAAGGAAGAGTAAGAGATGGAGATGGGGAGAGATGGAGAGAGATGGGGGGAGATGGGGAGAGATGGGGAGAGATGGATTGGGGGGGGTCGGAGTGGATGAGTGATGGAATTGATTGATGATGTTGGGGTGGTGAGGTGTGCTAGAGCCGAGAGGGTGGTTGTGGTGGTTAGTTTAGTCTCGTCGGACGTAGAGGTGTAGTTTTACTTCAACCTCAGCCACCACGACGTAGAGTACGGATATGGAATAAATGAGGTATATGATATACTTACTACTGTAGATCACTATTCACATTCACTTCACCACACACAGGAACGTACCATACAGCAACATACATGCCATTATGAGTGACAGTACTTCAAGCACCCTCCCCCCCATCTATCTATCCCACGCCCCCTCCCACCCGCAACAATGCAACAATGCCATCGCAAGAACTCCAAGAACAAACATCCCACAAAAATGCACGTCTTTTAACAACACTCCGCCAACCCATCCATCCTTAAATCACACCCCCCTCTCCCCCCCCCTAACTACCTATCCCTCCTCCCACCCCTCTCCCTCCTCCCCTTCCCCCCCCCCCCTCTTCCACCACCGCCCCCTTCTTCGTCGGCCTCCTCACCCTCGGCTGCTCAGAATGCAAATGCCCCAGCTCCTCCACCGCCATCCCATTCCGCCACGCCAAACACCTATACGTCTCCCTCGCCAGAGTCTGCGCCTTCGTCTGGCGCGCCGAAACGCGCTTCCTGCCCTCGTCCTGGCTCGGCTCCTCGCTCGCAGCGGGGACAGGGGCGAGGTACTCTCTACGGGCGATCATGTGGGCTTTGATCTTGTCTTCGAACAGCTTAACCTCCTTCTGGAGTTTGAGTTCGTTCACACCCCTCGGATCGAGCCATGCGAGTAACCCATCCACACTTTCTGCGTCGTCGTAGTACGCCCACTCCTCCGCATCGAACACGCTCGTCGCGCCCTCCTCTGCGCGTTTCCGCTCAGGCACGCTGACGTCGAACTGTTTGCGGTACTCGGCCTGCCAGGCAGCAGGCATATCGATGTATCCCTCTCGCTCGAGCGGATCCGGGCCCTGGACCCAGAGACAGCCATTCGCGTACCCAGCATCGGCGGTGGAGCTGTTAGGCAGGCCAGCATAGGGCATGCCGTTGCGCTCGAACCAGTAGTATCTGTTCCAGAAGCGGTCCTTACCCAAGCAGCGGGTGCGCGGGCAGTCGGCCTCGCGGAGGTCGTTGTCGATGACCGCGATCTCTTCTTCGCACTGCTTGATCGTGTCCTGTTTCTTCTGGATGTCCTTGAGGAGCTTGGTGAACTGCTTTGACTGCTTGGGCATCTTGGCTGCGGCTTCGGCTTTCTCGCGGCGCTCTTGCTCGGCTTCGCGCCTGCGTTGGCGCTCGGCGGCTCGGTCGTTGCCGCGGCGGAGGCAGCGCCCTTGATGGATGTCCTCGTCGGTATCGACTGTGTCGTCCTCTTCTGCTTCGGGCTCTTCGGCGGTCATCTTGGTATCGCCGTTCACCTTGGCCTCCGGCTCCTCCAAGGGGAGAGTGTTAGCAGGAAGGAGGACCTTCCTCTCTTCATTCAACAGACGCAGCTCTTCCAGCCTAGAATAAAATTAGCAAGCCATTAACATCCAGTCTCAAGTAAGTACTCACGCTATCTTTCGATCGCGCTGCCATTTGATCTTCTCCTTGCGGAAGCTCGTCATCTGCTCGCTACACTCCTCCATAAACCCGCGAATAGCCTTAGTCTCCATAGTAAGCATGCAGATAATCTGCAAGATCTTAATCCTCAGGTTGATATCTATCGCCGCGTACCTCAGCCTCGCCGTCTCAACGCTGGGTTCCTCATCCACCGGCGCAAGGCTCCGCAGCAACTCCTCGCAGCGCTTCTCGAATCGCGGAAACTTGGCAAGCTGATACAGCAACCCAACGACCACAACCTCCCACCCTCCATTCTTGAAGTCGCGCTTCCGTAGCTTCTCTAGCCAATCAACATCCTCCAGCATCTCGTCAGCCAAGTGCAGCTTCTTCTCCTCGGGAGTAGGACTGCGCTCAGCCTCGGCCTTCAGGGCTTCCGCCTCGAGCTTGGCCAGACTGCTGCGCGTGGCTCTTCCTTTGGGCTTCGGTTCCGGCTCCGGGGTCGGCGTCTGGATGGCGCTTTCGTCGTTTTCTTCGTCCTCGTCTTCGCCGTCGCTATCACTCTCGGGGAGGTGGATCTGGACCTTTCCGCCGTCGCTCTCGGAATCGGCGAGTAGTTTCAGGGCCGCACAGTGGATCTCTACGAAGAGCTCACACTCGACATCCTCAGAAGTAATCTGCATTGCCTCGGCAAAGTCGTCGAAGGTAAAAGAGTCGAGCTTGAAGATCTCGCAGTACACGTTCAGGGTATCCCAGGTCACCAACAGAGGTCCCACAGACTCCATTAGAATGCCATTATCCTTCGCCGGGTGGTCTTCGACAGGTACAGGGGTATCTTCAGAAAAGAACTTCAGCGGTGGTCGTTTAAGTATATCCGCCTTCCTCGGCGCAATCTGAAGATCCTCGATGGGGTATTTAATCGGAGGTGGCGGAGGCGGTTGTATCGGCAGCTGCTGCATAGGCGGGAACGAGAAGGTCGAGCTGTGGAAGTTGGTGTACTGGCCATTCGTCGGTGGGGTGCCATTTCCATTGGGGTAAAATCCGTGCGCTTGGAACTGGTGCTGCGGCAAGGCGCGGTGAAGCTGCTGAGCCGGCATGTGAGGCGTAGGATTCAGGGTCATAGGCTGCTTGCTCTTCGCTAGTTGACCCTGTAGTTGTTTGCTCTTGTGGCTCTTGGGCGCTGGCTTCAGTTCCGGTAGTTTCGGGTTGTTGCCGGGGAACACGCCAACCATGCCATCGAAGTCCGGACCGTTCTTCTTCTGCTGATGCTTTTGCTTCCTCTCAGCTGCGTGGCTCTCGTATTTCAGGTGCTGGGGTACTCGAGTGTCGATATGATATGTCTCTGCTACGTCAGGCTTCACCAGCCACGGCGCACCTGTCCAAGCCTCCCTCGTAACCGTCTTCTTGATGAACGAGCGCAAGACCTGCTTCGTGAAGATCTTGCGGTCGCGTGTAATATGGTCGTCGTCCACCACCGCCTCCTCAAACGGCCGATTGTCCAGGCTGACAAAGTATCTCGAGAAAGCAGGGCTTACCGTGCCATTGGGGAGCACCTTGTTGCCAAACCGCGTCTTGTCCCGCACCACACCCGTCAAGCGCTCGCCGCTAACGACATGCACCATTACCACCTCGCCCGGGTAGTAGTCCTTCTTAAATTCGTCGTATATGAGGTCCACCAAGTTATCAATTCGCGAAATCGTCTGGAACTGCACACGTCGGAGAATCGGGCCCTTGAGGGCAATGGGGAACGCCTGCTCGACCTCCTCCGCACCAGCCAGTTCGCTCTTTAGCGCCTCGAAGAAGTTGAGTCCCGAGTGTCCCGTTATTTGGCATATGAATCGGCGCTGCTTGTAGAAGTCCATACTGTGGATTGGTTCTGTTAGAATAGCTGGGGTGGCTGCGTCGGACGGGCGAGAGTCCTTACCGATTCAGATAGATCTCATACTCCGTGAATACCTCCCCCGTTTGTGGAATCACCCACACCTACGCGCGTGTCAGCCTCACCGAGCAGGAGAGTCATGAAGAGCCAGGCCAGAGAGCCAGGTCAGAGAGCCAGGCGAGAAAAGAAGCTCTTACCTCGGCATCATCATCCGTAATCGTAGGCGTGGTGACATACTGCACCGGTTTCCTCTTAAAGAGCACCTAACACGCATTAGCCCAGCGCACCCCGCAATCCCCAAACCCATCACCTACCATCGTATCATCGCCCGCAGGCCAGGTGTTTGTGTTGTCGCCGTGCAGCGCCCTTTAATCTGTCTCGGAACGGGGGGTTAGCGCGTCACTCTTTGACCAAAAACTTTATGAGAACTTTTATAACCCGCAGCTCAGGAATTGATTCGCAGCTTGTTGAAAGGGCCGGGTTCTCGCGCGCCGGCTGTAAAACCCAGCCGTCACGGCTGTGGACAAACTGGCAAATCGTAGGGGGGCAATTTGTGTGTGGGGGTTGGCAGAACACTTACGGAGGCGGCTCTTGGACGCGTTCCCTCGCGCCCAGCACTATGGCGCTCTTCACTTCTCCGCCCTTGCAGTCTCTGGGCCGATGAAAATCGCGAAATCGTGGTTGGCGGGCGTCGTCTCGATTTCGTTGTTCATTCGCGTTCTCGTATACATGAGGAGGGAGGAAGAGGGGGGAAGGAGAGGGGGGAAGGGAAAGGGAAAGGGAAAGGGAAAATGTGGGCGGGCGAGGGAGGCAGATCTTGAAAGAGCAGGCATAGATAGTGGCTAGTGGCTCTCCACTCGCTCGCTCGGTATGATGGAAAGACGCTAGTCCGGACTGAACTGTACGGGGACGGGGATTGGATGGAGAGGGCAGAGGGAGGAGCAAGCAGACCCGCCCCGCCGTCCATCCCGCTCTGGCTTTGCCCCATCGAACTTTCCACTCCTCTAACTTAAAGTTACACCCCCAAGCTGGGGAAACAACGCGGGAGGGGGCGGGGGAGGGAGGCGACGACGACCCGGGGGGAGGGGGGGGTTCGTGTACTCTAAAGACGTAGAATGATGCCGTATAACTATATGAGACCTACAAAAAATATGGCGGAAATTATCTATTGTTGTCGAGCGGGGGAAGCATAGGGATAGGGGTCACGGTGGCTAGGGGCGATAAACCTATAAACCTATAAACCTATAAACCTATAAACCTATAAACCTAGGGCAAAAGAATGATATACCCTGTACTTATCCATGTAAAGAACGATATAGCCTTGTCATACTATAATTGGATTTTGGACGGCGATAGCCTA